TGTGGAGATGGGAATTATTGGTGCACTCCTTCTGGTACCTTCCCCACCCAATTCATAAGTTCACAATGCGCCAAAATAACATCCAATTCCATTCAGACTTGGCACATCTCGATATTTCCATCAACACAAGATATGTTATAGAGATGGTAGAGATCGGATCATTTCTTCTGGTACCTACCCCACATAGGGTTCAAGATTTTGAAAAACAAAACGCTCAAAGAAAGCCAAATAAGCATCCAACTCTCTTCAAATTTCACACATACAAACATTTTTGCCAACACAAGATCTGTTGTGAAGATTATATTTATCTGCGAACCCCCCTTCTGGTACCTCACCCACAAAGGGTCACAATTTTCGATTCATTTATCTGTCATAACTTGCGAAACAAGTCAGCGATTCTTTACAACTTGCTATATCTAAATATTTTTCTTAGCCAAAAATCTGATATAAATATATATTTTATGATTTCGCATAAAATAGGATATAAATGTTCGATTTTCTTGTAATTTTGCCGACAGTTAGGTCACACTCACCTTAATGGGTAAACACTTCAAAATCACTTTATTTGTTAATTAATAGTATTTCGAAGTATTAATTTAACATTTATCAATTTTTGGTTAGTTCTAATATCCAAATGGTATGTTTTTCGACCCTATACCGACTGTAATAAAATCCGTAATTTTTTTGTTTCATATGACGATTTTAGGGCAATCCTATTTTTTTGTAATATATGTTGTAGGGCATCATATATTCGTTCTTGCCCGCATGTTTCTATAATGGTTTTAGTTGTTATTATTAAATATTATCTCGGGTAGTTTTTTTAAATCCTATCAAAATTTGCCTCCTATAAATTTTGTTTCCTTTTTTTCTCTATTTAAATAGGACATCTGGCAATGACAACACTCCTTGAGATTGGGACTAAGAACTTAAGTAATGGAAAGAGAAAATCAACGATGCGTTTTGTTTTATTATTTTTTGTTTCCTCTCTCTCTTCTCTAACAGTCAAATTTTCAATTTCTGCTTTATTCGTTCCTTTCTCTCTCTTTTTTTATTTGAGTTGCTACTCTGAGAGCTTTTATTTTTTTGAAAAATCATGTAAGAATTCTCTGCATCATATGTTTGGTTGGTGTTACTTTGGTGTTACTTTTTTTTCTTTTCTGAAGCGCATTTTCGAAAAGTAGCAGCAGCAGCAACAACAACAGCGTGTACGTTAATAGTAAATGTATCTAAAAAATGTCTCACGATTTTGTGATTTTCTTGTGGGGGGACCGGATTTCGTCCGTACCACCACCATGCCACACCACCACACAACATCCACACAAGTATCCACAGGCAAAGAAACCAACCAGCCGACCGACCTACCAACCAACCATCCCATTCCAATACATTCATACGAAAAATTACAAACACAACAACAAATTGTGTGTCTGTGTCGTCTCCAAGTTGTTGGGTTGTGTGTTAATTTGTAAGTTTGTTGTGTTTGGGCATGGATTGGATTTGGGATGGATGGATGATGGCGGCAGCAGTGGCATGGTTGAATAAAAGATTTTGATGTATGGAAGAATGTTGGGTAGGTTGGTTGGTTGGCTGGCTGGTTTGGTTTTGGCGGCGGTCTCTGGTGTAGAGGTATGGTTTGTTTTTACTCTTATTCTTCTTTCTTCATCTTCTTCTTCGTTTCGTGTTTTCTTCTTTCTTTGCTTTTTATGTTGCACTTTATTTTAGCTTTAGGCGGCGGCAATGTCCGGAGTGAAACGACGATGTACGTTGTTGACTGGCATTTTTGTTGTTGCCGTTTTCTTTTACTTTACATGTTCATTCTTGGTTTGGCGCTGTTGTTGTTTTTGTTGTTGGACATGACATCCAACGAATATAGAAATTTATAATGCTGTGTAAACATATGACTCTCTCGATGAGTGTGTGTGTGAGTTTGTATGTGTTTTTTGTAAAATACAAAGTAACTGCAGAATTATAAGAATAAGGAATCAAAGAGGGGATAGGATGGCAGGCAAGCTTTTATGATGTGAAAGACTCGAAATGTGACAAGACGGGTAGAGAGAGAAAAAACGAACCCGGACGACGATTTCGATGTGAAGTAAATATACTAATGAATGCCATAGACGACGAATGCGCTTTAAAACATAAAATCAATGAAACGAAGAAGCTATTTATTTGAAGTAATGCTATTCTTGTTCTTTTTCTCTTTTTGATTTCCTCGTTGTTATTGTTGCAAATTTTTTTATTACTTTTGTGGTTTGCTTGCTATTTTGTGTTGTTGTTGTTGCTGTAGTCATCGTCGTGTGAAGTATAGATTACAAAGTTAAAGAATTGCAATCATGTGAGAATTGAGTATGTGTGTGAGAGGGAGAAAGGGAGCTGGTTAGAAATTTAGCGGAGAGTGAGAGAGAGAGGGAACACAGTCAATAGAGATTTAATTATTTGGAATTTAATTTTTGAGTAGTAAATTAAAAGCCATGAAGCGTTTTAATTAAATATCAATAATTTCAAATTAATTTGAAGGCAATGGGGATTCTAGAGAAATATTTGTGAAGGCCTTCAAAAATAAATCTAGGTGGGATAAGTGTACAGATAGCCGGCGGTTTAAAAAAAAAATATTCATCATTAAAAATCTACTGTTTCGAATGCAAATATGCTATTACATTCAATATAAATTGCTATATTTTCAAATTCTGTTTACTATTAGACGAATGAAATAAATGTTGAAATTTTTGTCTGAAATCGGGGTACCACTATCCATTTCTAGGCATGCCATGTTCCTACAGCCATCTTATGGGTTTTTAAAAGGAAAAGTATTGTATTTAATAAAATAGTGCATTTAATCTACAAAGTAAATAATTAAATTATTGCATACTTCTGTTTTTCTAAAGTTATCAAACCTCTGCCAATATTAGGTCCGTTTTCATCCTCCATACCCACTTTAAAGGTTGAAGAGATTTCTTTACATTGTTGGTCATTGAATCACCAATACGCTTGGGTAGTGTGCGAACTGAACAAAATATCGCAGCTGTATCGACCAGTGTCAATCATGAGCATCATTTATCGATTCGGAAGGATTTATGGGTCGAAGCCTTTCGAAGTATAACCGAAGCAAACATGTTGGCGAACGACCTGCCACATTGTAGAATTTTTGTTGAGGAGAGGAGGCTATTGGAAAGTTAGCTTAATATCCACCTTTTCCACCACATTCTTATACCCTCCACCATAGTATGGAGGGTATAGTAAGTTTGTCGTTCCGTTTGTAACACCTCGAAATATACATTTTAGACCACACAAAATATATATATTCTTAATCAGCAGAAAATCCTATGTCGATTTTGCGATGTCCGTCCATCCGTCTGTCCGTCTGTGGAAATCACTCTATCTTCCGAACGAAATGAAGTAGGTTGATAAAATTTTACTCAAGTGTATTTTACACTTTTGGTATTGAAAATAGGCCTTGTAGATCCATGTTTTGGTATAGCCCTCATATAATAGTTCCTCCCTTTTTTCGGTATTTTGGCAATTTAAGGGACATTATTCACCGGAATTATTTCAAATTTGGTATTTAAAGTTCAAAATGGATATTACAGCCTGTTATAGAAAATTGTGTGTGAAAATGAAAATTGCGTCTTCGTATAGCCCTCATATAACGGAACCTCCCGATATTCGGTATTTTGATAATTTTAGCAACATTATTCACCGGAATTATTTCAAATTTGGTATTTGAAGTTCGTAATGGATACTACAGTCTATGACAGAAAAGTGTCTGTGCAGGACCACGATTTGGTATAGCGCCCACGGTACCGTCCTATATTCGGTATTTTGATTATTTTAGCTACATTTTTCACCGATTTTTTTTCAAGTTTCGCATTTGAATATTGTATTGGCTTATGACAAAAGTTGGCCTATGCAGGTCCACGTAGTCGTATAGACCCTCCTTATATAAAAACATTCGGTATTTTTAAGATTTTAACAGAATTTTTAACGGATTTTATTTTTTTTTTAATTTGCCAAAATCGTTCCTAATGTTGGAGGGTATTCAATGTTCGGCCCGGCCGAACATACTGCTTTTTTACTTGTTATCTCATTCGGTTCGTAAATAAGCAGAACTGTTGATTTTGGAGTGAAGATGAACCAAAAGCACTTCATTAGCTACCATTGGCTTAATTGGAACGTCCTTCTTCAGCTTCAAATGGTGAGCGCTACCGTGAGACGATATCCAGTTTTTTACCCTCAGCCATATGACCATATGGGTACGGCCAAAACGTGCCTCACCAAAATAACGGTTTTAGACCTTAGGCCTCTTTGGACCAAATCCGTTTCCGGACATTTGGAGTCGATCTAGCGATGTCCGTCCGTCAGTCTGTCTGTCCGGCTGGCTGGTGCGCCCGATAACTCTCGAAGTTAGTATACGATTTGATCCAAACTTGGTACATCGCAATAATATTGTCAAAATTAGATCGAGTTCGGAGATGGGCAATATCGGTCCACTCCTATTGGTACCTCTCCCACAAAATGTCAACATTTTCAATCAGTGATAGGGCAGGTGCGAAAATGGACAATATCGGTCCACTTTACTGGTACCTCCCACACAAAGGGTAAAAATTTCAATAATCATAACAGAAATTAAAATATGGGACCGAACATTGGTATGTTTGGGTAGGTACCTGTAGCGGGGATTGATGAACTCTCTGAGTTCGGTTGCAATAATTTCCTCAGGGTTGTATGAGTTCAGGGGTTCCGCTAATGAAGGTCCTGCTGGAGCTGTAATAGTCGAACATTAGGGTATACATCTGTCGGCAAAACCGACTGACATATTCTAACTTGTGATATCAAATTATTTTGTAAATATAAATCACTCGTCGAAAAAAGTTTTTGGTCTCATTCCAGTACTCACTCCTTTTTTTTATCATATTCTAATAAGACATTTCAAATTCGCAATTATTTTAATAAAAATCATTATAATAACCCATCAATCTTTTACTCTCTTCATTTCTTTTTAGATCCAGAACCATGTTGCCAACAACAACATCGGTCACATGTTGCTCTAACAGAAAATGAATGCTACTGGTCATGCAACAACTCCTGGAGAGTCAACGACAGCAGCAGCAGCAGCAACAACAACGGCAACAACAGCAGCAGCACATTTGGCAGCAATAATAGCAAATACCGCCCATGCGAACGGCTATGATCAGCAGCAACAGCGTCATCATCAGCAACAACAACAACAGCAAGAGCAACAACAACACACTCGCCAATCACCAGCTCATCAACAAGCAACGCAACATCATCATCACCATCATCCAGCCGCAGTTGCACATTCACAATTGAACGAGGTAAGTCTTCTTTTGGTGAATTTTTGATTTAATTCCTCCCGAAAAACATGTTGTTGTCAACTACCTCCCTCCCTCCCGCCTCCTCCCATTCCAATTCCCTCTCTCCCTTCCTATGCGTCCATTGTTTTAGTTTCTTATTTATTCTCCTCCTATACCCACATTTGTTGTGATATCATTTAACTCCATTACGTGTTTAGAATTCATTTAATGTTCACATACCTAGCTACCTACATACATGCATACGAGACGAATACATACTACATACATATGTATACAGTTCATAATACTACTATACACATACAGTATGTCAAGCATGAGTTTATAACAACAAGTCGAGATTTAATAATGAAATCTCAGTTTATTTGAATGAAGAGGAAAATGTATTTTTTTATGAATCGACATCAATTTTTCAAAACGAAACCAGCAAGAAGAGACAAGGGTCGATCGGAGTCAACTGTATGATACCCTACCTCAAAATGAATATGTAACAGAGGTACCCGTAACAAATATACAATTATATTTAAAACATTTTGAAAAGTAAATCGTACAAAATTTGATCTATATGTGAGCTTTATCTTAATGGAAACCACCAGATATGATGGAGGATTTTTTGCGATATGTGACCTCTCGTACCAATTATCATTAGCATACCATGCATGTGAGAAGGCTTTAATATAAAATAGGTTGAAACGTTTACAGGATGTGATAAAAAACTGCAACAAATTCAAATGCCATAATTTTTACAACATTTCGGAAATAGATCAAACTTTAGAATAAGTTTAGATTCTTTCGAATTGGTCACATTTGGCACGAATTATGGCCTTCAAAAGGCAAATAAAAACATCACACGCTGCCCGAATATTGCTCTGCCGTTTTTTGGCCCATCCCCGGCGAAGCGTTTGCTTGAGGTGATCGACACTTTGGTATTTTTTAGTGCCAACCTTGCTTTCCAAAATACTCCAGACACAATGGTCCAATGGATTGGTATCCGGAGATTTTCGTGGCCATTGTGCGCTGGAAATGAAGCGAGGAACCTCATTTTGTAACCATTCTTTGCTGGCGCATGCTGAGTGCGATTGTGCTGAGTCCTGTTGGAATGTCCAAGGTCTGCGGCCAAAATGTTTGCATGCCCAAGGATTTAATACATCCTTCAGAATATTTTCGCGATAATATTCGGTATTTATTCTGATGCCACGATCGATTAATACGAGCGGAGAGAGACCATCGGCTGTTATGGCGGCCCACACCATCACCATGGCCGGCGATTGAGTTCTGGTGGCCAACCGAAGGTGCACATTTTCAGCTGACCTCTTTGGCAAGTAAACATGATAATTTTGTTTGTTTACAAACTGCTAGACAACGAATATTTTCTCATCGGAGAAAACCAAATTCGGCAGTTCATCACTTTCGGCCAAGCTAAGGAACTCATTAGAGTCTATTTTCTTTCTGTTGCGGTGTAAGTTCTTGCACTTTTTGGAAATTCAATGGCTTTACCCCGAGTTCATTTTTCAATATTTGCCGAATGGAATATTGCGATATGTTCAGCTTCGGCCACTGCGACGCGGGTTTCGATCAAGTCGCTTCTTTACTTTTCGAACCATTTCTGCTGATGTTGCTGTTTTCTTCCGTCCACTTCCTTGACGTTGAGATATTTTTTTACCAGTAATGACAATATTATTAGTGGCCAAAATACACAAGGCACAGGCTAGAAAAAAGTGAGTTTAAGTTCTGGTCCAGGTTTCACCAGCGGGACTACTCTGCTCATTTTTAGGTTTTGGGAACTATTACGACCATATTGAAGTACTAGACTCATCCAGGTGATGCTACAGACTATGGAGTATTTGTCCGCATCAAACGTTGAATGACATTTGCAACATTACCCCTCGTAAAGTATGGCCCTACATCGGTGGGAAAAGATCTAATATGCATTAGTGTCCATCGCTCGCCCTCTCAAATTCAGGATGCTTGCCAAACTGATGGTTTTATTATTGGCGAATTTCTAGGGATTTTCTGAATTTGGGTGCAAAAACTTCCTCAGAGTTGTACGAGTTCAGAGGATATGATGTCGGGCGCCACTAATCAAGGTGCAGCGGGAGCTGTAATACCGAACATTGATGTCATTTTCTCTGAATTCAGGTCGAAGAAATTTCTCAGATTTATCCTTCTAGTTGCAAAGTTAATACCATTTAGTAGTTGGCACACTTAGTGCAAATTTCCAAAACCAATCTTCATATATCAAATTGGCTTTCGAACCTTGATTCTCACACCTAATCTCAAGGTCCGTTCACAAAATATTAAATGGTACCATTTTGGAAGTTTAGTATCATTTGGGAACTTTTCGTAACTTTAAGGTACGAATTAACAAATACCCTTTGGTACATCTATCCTGCACACCATCAGTGGCTCTCATTCCAAATTCTAGCTCATTCCGTTTGTCCAATACAAAGTATTCAATTCTTGGTACATTTTAGTATTTTGCGTGTACTTTTAGTATGAATTTCCGAAAACCACATGCCTACGCACTAAGACGGGACTTCGTGCAAAATTTCAAGATTCTACCCCAGCCTTTTTGTATGTCCGTTAAGATAGATTCGAATCTGTCTAGCAAATACGCACACCACTATGCAGTCACAGAGTACAGTTAAAGTTAACAGAGCACTGTTAAAGTTAACAGAGTTTTCAAAAATGCATGGTATAACTTGGAACTTGGGTACTATAGGAGAGCTTATCGAGAGTACTCTCCATAGCAATAATAAAAAGTTTCAAAAATATTGCCGGATGCCGCCGAATCCACCCATTTCGGAAATTATCGTGGGGTAAGGATAATTATTGCGACCAATACTTCTACAAGGACAAATTCTGCCGGGACAACATGGGTACCATTGGAAAGCTTATCGAGAGTACACTCCATAGCAACAATAAAAAGTCTTAGAAATACTGTCTGATGCCGTCGAATCCCCCCATTTCAGAAATTATCCTGAGGTAAGGATAATTATTGCGAACAATATTCCTACAAGAACAAATTCTGCCGGCACAAAATGGGTACCATTGGAAAGCTTATCGAGAGTACTCTCCATAGCAACAATAAAAAGTTTCAAAAATATTGTTCGATGCCGCCGAATCCACCCATTTTGGAAATTATCCTGGCGTAAGGATAATTATTGCGACCAATGCTCCTACATGGACAAATTGTGCCAAGACAACATGGGTACCATTGGAAAGCTTATCGAGAGTACAGTCTATAGCAATAATAAAAAGTTTCAAAAATATGCCGCCGCCCGATGCCGCCGAAACCACCCATTTCGGAAATAATCCTGGGTTGAGAAAAAATTATTGCCACCAGGACAAATTCTGTCGGGACAACATGGGTACAATTGGAAAAATCAAAAATAAAAACTCTCAAAAATATATTGCCCAATGCCGCCGAATCCACCCATTTCCGAAATCATCCTGGGGTAAGGATAATTATTGCGACCAATACTACTCCTACAAGGACAAATTCTGTCGGGACAACATGGGTACCATTGGCAAAAACAGTAATAAAATGTTTCAAAAATATTGCCCGATGCCGCCGAATCCGCCCATTTCCGAAATCATACTGGGGTAAGGATAATTATTGCGATCAATACTACTCCTACAAGGACAAATTCTGCCGGGAGAACATGGGTACCATTGGAAAAAGCAATAATAAAATGTTTCAAAAATATTGCCCTATGCCGCCGAATCCACCCAATACTCCTATTTATTTCATATATATAGCTTTGCTGTCATAATATCCTTGGATTTTCTCTCCTTTTATAATATCCTCGGGTTTCCTTTTTGTGTCATGCAGTTCTGCTGATATTTTTCGAATCCTGACTACATTTTCCATTGGATTGAATACGAGATTTGCTATAAACTTTCCTTTAATGAGGTTAGGTTAGAAAAGGGATTTCTGATTTGAAAACTCTCCAACTCTCAAAAAGTGGTTGTCGATTTTTTTCCTCAAAATACATCACTTTTCTACATCTTTAATAATTATCTAACATTTAATTTTCTTTATACACACAACAGCTGGAAGTTTGAGAGATTGGGTGGCGAATAATAGAATGGAAAATAAAGTATGGGAATAGAGGAAAAGTGAGAGAAAGATAATAAAAGTCGTCGTTGATGACTTTTTACTGAGAACCAAACGACCAAACCAACAACACTCTTCTATAAAGAAATTAAAATCGATTAACTTTTGTTAAATGTGTTTGTTAGTGTGTGTGAGGGTGTATAGATGTGGGTGTGGGTGGATAGATGAATAAATGGATGGATGGTTGGATGTAAGCAAAGCTGTTGTTTCGGAAAATAGGTTGGGCCCGACCACCCATTGTTGTTGGTTGGGTATCAGTAATGACAGCTCTAATATGCTGGATTGGATGTCTATCCAAGGAGAAAGGGTATACATACATACATGAACATATGCTATTATATATTTTATATATACATATGTATTGTTTGAGTGGATGTTGTATATAAGGAAAAAAATGGATTAAAATAAATGTATTTCAAGCATAAATTAGTGCTTCATTTTTCCTCCAACCATCAACAACACCCATCCGACCACCTATTATTTGCGTTTATTTGTTTGTTCTCCTTCTGCTTAAAATGTGGGTCTCCTTTTTTTTTTCAAAAAAATAGGGACTTTTGTCTCATGGGTTTGGGTAATGATGAATATAAAGTCGGAAGGAAAAATGCAAAGCGTTGCTATGGACGAATTTGTCATTGTGAGAGAGGATATGAGATGTCTTTATTTGATTCTCTATGATATTTATGTATATATCATAAGAATCACAATAAATCGTTTAATGCGCGTCACCCCACCATCATCATTTTTATTATTATCATCGTTGTCATTATAAACACCATTGATTATGAAAAAAAAAAAACACACACACACTTACATATTTATGCCGACATTTATCCTACCTCCATTGAGCCATCTATCCTTCGTCTTTATAGCCATTTAATTATGTATCCCATTTTACACCACCACCACCAACGACGCCATCCCGCCACCCACACACATAGCAAATTGCTGTTGCCCCCAGGGACAGTGGTGGTGGGAAGAGAGCGAGTGCTGTACTTAAATCTTACATCATTTGTTTGTTAAGTGTGTATATATTTAAATGTTATATTTTTTTTTGTTTGTATATATATATGTTATGCTCTTGTAAATATCTCGTTGTAAATATTGTCTTTTAACATACAACTAATTTCCATAATCTGAAAATTTAATGCGTGACTTCATTGAATTTTCATAATTTTGCTGTTGTTGTGATAATTTATCCCTCTTAAAGAATTGATGGTGTGATAATTTGTCACTCGTTGAGTGTTATTTGAATTAAAGCGGAATATTCCCGAGAAGGAGGATATAATATTTTTTGGATGAATTTCTAAAGGGTGATTTTTAAAGGCTTATGGGAAAGTTTTTTGAAAAAGGAAAACTGAAAAATGCTCTTCATGGCTGTTCTTCACTCCATAATCATCAATTCTGCTTATTTACGTACCCATTGAAGAGAAATTGGGCTTCGTCGATGAACACAAATCGTACGATTATCTTTCTCAATAATAAGAAGTTAAAAAGTATAAGTCGGTTTTGCCGACCGATGTATACCCTCAGGCAATGTTCGAAATTGTTGACCCTCTAAATAAATATATAAATATTGCGACGTGCCAGATATAAGAAGTATGAGGTATCAGATATAGTCGAGCGAAGTATTCCATTTTTATACTTTATCAGATAAAAATACTGGTATGGGCAAAATTACAAGAAAATGGAACATTTATATCCAATTTTATGCGAAATCATAAATTCTATATTCATCTCAGGTTTCTGGTTGAGAAAAATATTTAGATATAGGAAGTGGTAAAGAATCGGTGACTTGTTTCGCAGGTGATGAAAATTGTGACCCTTTGTGGGTGAGATGCCAGATGTGTTGGCAATAATATTTGTATGTGTAAAATTTGAACGGAGTTGGTTGTTTATTTCGCTTTCCTTGGGCGTTTTTATACCCTCCACCATACTATGGAGGGTATATTAACTTTGTCATTCCGTTTGTAACTCCTCGAAGTACTCATGTCAGACCCAACAAAGTATATATATTCTTGATCAGCGTAAAACTCTAATTTAGCGATGTCCGTCTGTCTGTTGTAATCACGCTATCTTTCGAACAAATTAGATAGAAGGCTAAAATTTTGCACACCTGTTTATTTTTCCAGTAGGCAGGTTAACTTCATAAATGGGCCATGTAGGTCCACTTTTTCATATAGCCCCCATATAACGGTACCTCCCTATATTCGGTATTTTTATGATTTTTGCGGCATTCTTCACCGGAATTTATTTCAAAATTGGTATTTGAGACTCGTGATGTATATATGACAGAAAATTGTCTGTGCAGGTCCACGTCTTCGTATAGTCCCCATATAACGGTACCTCCCAAAATTCGGTATTTTAATGATTTTAGCTCCATTATTCACCGGAATTGTTTCAAATTACGTACTTAGAGCTCGTAATGGGAACTACAGTCTGTGACAGAAAAATGTCTATGCAGGTCCAGGTCTTCGTATAGCCCCCATATAACGGTACCTCCCAAAATTCGGTATTTTGATGATTTTTTTCATTATTCACCGGAATTGTTTCAAATTAGGTATTTAGAGTTCGTAATGTGAACTACAGTCTGTGACAGAATAATGTCTATGCAGGTTCAGGTCTTCGTATAGGCCCCATATATCAGTACCTACCTATATTCGGTATTTTGACGAGTTTAGGTACAATACCCACCGAAATTGTTTGAGATATCGTATTTGACGTTAGTAATGGATGCTATAGCCTGTGACAGAAAATTGTCTATGCTGGTCCAGTTCTTCGTACAGCTCAGATATTATACCTCCCTATATACGATATTTTGATGATTTTAGCTACATTATTCACCGTTTATTTCAAGTTTCGAATTTGAATATTGTAATGGCTAATGGCAAACAATGCCTATGTAGGTTCACGTCGTATAGACCCCAATATAACGGCAATATTCCGTATTTTTAAAATTTAACAGAATTTTTAAGGGATTTAATTTTTATTTTTAAATTTCCAAATTAGTTCCAAATGGTGGAGGATATTCAAAGTTCGGCCCGGCCGAACTTACTGCTTTTTAACTTGTTTAAATTTGAAACCTATGTGGAGGAGGTACCAGAAGAAATGATCCGATCTCTACCATCTTTAAAACAGATTTTGTGTTGAGAAAGTATTAAGATATACCAAGTCTGTATGGAATCGGATGTTAATTTCGCGTTTTATGAGCTTCATGGTTATTCAAAATGTTGACCCTTTGTGGGGGATGTTTCGCAAGAAGTGGACCGATATATCCCATCTCCACAGTAGGTCTATTGTTAGCAGACATAACGGGATGTATGAAATGTGAAGTAAACCAGATGCTTATTTCGAATCTGGTTTATTTCGGATAATGGTTTTGGTTGTTTAAAATTTTGACCATTTGTGGGGGAGGTACCAGAAGGAATGGTCCGATCTGTACCATATTTATAACCGATCTTGTGTTGATAGAAATATTGAGATGTGCCAAGTCTGAATGGAATCGGATGTTAATTTCGACTTTTATGAGGTTCATGAATATTCGAAATTTTTACCTTTTGTGGGGGAGGTACTTAATGGAGTGGACCGATGTATTTCATATTTACACCAGACCTTGGGTTAATAAAAATATTATGATGTGTATAATTTGAAGACAGTCGGACACTTATATCACATTTTATAAGTGTTCAAATTATTCAGAATGTTGGCACTTTGTGGGAGGTACTTGATGGAGTGGACCGATGTCCATTTTTCGCACCTGACCTAGCACTGATGCAAATATTAGGATTTGCAAAGCTGAAACAACATCAGATTAACCTTTCTCTTTCTATGCAGCAAAATATATTTTTTGAAAATTTCGACCTTTTGTGTGGGATGTACCAGTAGGAGTGGACCGATATTGCCCATCTCCGAACTCCTCGATATAAGTTTGGCAATAATATTACGATGTACCAAGTCTGGACCAGATCAGACCGACTGACGGACGGAAGGGCGGACATCGCTAGATCGACTCCAAATGTTCGGAAACGGATTTGGTCCAAGGAGACCGTTATTTCGATAATGCACGTTTTGGCCGTATCAAATGATATATACTCTCTGTAGCCATATGGCTGCAAATCTTCTCATAATTTCACCGTACAATAGCCAGTCTGGGTTGTGAAAAATACCAAGTGGACTTTAAAGTATTCTTTTTTTAGATCTAAACCCCAAAATCGTTTTTGGTTCAAAGACCAGATATTGTTAAGGTCCTCATAGGATAGAGCTTTAAAATTTGATAGAGATTTTTGGATTACATCCAAAATCATTGGTAAAGAAATAGGTCATATCGGCAGATTTTTTGGAATAGCCCCGTAGAAGAAAATCCAGATTTTTACTAGTAATATTGCCAAAGACACTATATACGTAAAACCAATGCATTTCAAGTAATCTTAACTTGAATATTTAAAAAAAGGTGGGTGGACCTTCCACTCCCTATTTTGATTACAGTCCGATGTATACTTTTATACCTCGATACATGTGTCTCGTATTATTAGCTCTTTTTACATATTCTACCACCAGGTTTTTGCATTTTGAATACGATACCTAGGTGTGATCATCTTCATCGGTCGGTAATGACTATTCTCAAAATTTAATTAAACTGCAAAGAAATACTTAAAGGCAGAGACGAATTTCACGAAGTCTCTTTACGGTACTAGAATCGCATGGCACGGAGGAAAATTTGAAGTCTTGTCAATATTCGAACGTTGGAGTCGAAAAAAAATGAAAATTTTATACCATATCTCCGTAATTGTCGTCACGTTTTCTTGTAACAATATCCATTTGTCCATATGTCGCCCATTTGTACTGCAACGTTTGCCAGCATCTCTTTCTAATCGATTCACATTCATTTCACTAATTTACCTCATTTGTGAATTCTAACAAAGAATGTGTCTCAAATATCATACAAAACCAAACATGATCACATACACCATAAACTTGACGTTGATGATGAAAATGATGATGGTGGTAATAGCAACATCAATGATAGCCTCAACCTCAATTTGAAAATTGTTGTTTACAGTCGTCACCTGTTGGCAATGATGTGATATCGCAACAAACGAGAAGTGCAATAACCAATCAACCTTGTACAGAAGACCGGCAAGGAGGAGTAACAAGCCAACAATCCCTACCAATACCATTGAAAATGTCTTCAACAAATCCGACGACTGTATCTTCGTCGGCACCACCGACAACGTTGGTGGCGGCACCTAGCAGCAATCCAGTTACGACAATTGCCTCGATTTCAAATTCTTCCCAGTCGTCATCGACAACAACGGGAACAACAACACCTTCCATTGTTGTCCCCCAACAACAGCCGCAGCAGCAACAGCATATTGTAACAACAGCTGTTTCCGTTGCAAGCTCAGAGGGTAATCTAGCCATACGTCATGCTGGTGGACCACCACCACCTCAACATGTTCAAATTCAACAACAACAACAACATGTTCAGCATCACCATCAGCAGCAGCAACAACAGCACCATCAACATCAAACGGCCTCGGCTGCAGCGACAACTACCACAACGGAGTTATTGGTGAAAACATCTGGTACAACCCAAACAACCACAAGTTCCACACTTCCGGCGGGTACCATTCTAACAAATAATTCTCAAAATGTAAGACATTTCTTTTCAAAACTCAAGGGTTAGAACAGAAAATAGAAAATATTCAAATTCAAATTTTGAGAAAAACTTCTCTTATTTGGTCGACCTTGTAATTGCAGAGGAAATTCACTAGAAACTTGCCGTTTATTTGAAATAATTATCCTCAAAATTTATTGAAATATTTATTGGTACAAAAATGCTCACTTTCTAAATCTGCAGCGGGATATATAGTAGCGGGTCCCCCTTCAAACTTTTATGTATTCTATATCCGAAAAAAAAACAAATCATTCTTCCAAAAAAAAAAAATAAATAAATAAAAAAATGAGATTTTATACACATTGTCAATCCTATTTCATTCAATATTGAAAAAATTGAATTCTAAACACGTAGTGAACAAATACCTCCTTAATCCCTCTTCCCCTTTGTTTCCTTGTCGCAGAATAGTAATATTTAACAATTATTTCCATTTCTCCCACTTCTTGTTGCTATTTACAGTTGGGTAAATATTGGGTTGTAACGAATTTTTTCCAAGGACAACAGCAGCAGCCCAACACAACCGTTGCCTATAGTAGCAGTGATAGCGGTAGTTCAACTGGCGGCGGTGTTACCTATACCCAGACATCTATAGCGGGAGTGCCTTCTTCGACCCTAATACGTGCAATATCCACAACAGCGGCAGCTGGCTCGGGCGGCGGCGGTGGCGTATCATCATCAACAGCCTCAGCGACATCTTCTGGCGTAACAAAATCGGCAACGGTAACAAGTAGCAGTGCTGGAACACTGCAAATACCGACAACGCAAATGTTGTCACAGGCTGCCATAGGGCAACAATTGCCAAATGGTACCATCATAACAACACAGGCTGCTCAACAGCAGCAGCAGCAACAACAACAACAGCAGCAGCAAAGACACGTTGCTGAACATCAACAACAGCAGCAACAGCTACAACATGTGCATGGTAAGTGAATTCCATAATTGTTATCAATTTTTTTTAATCACTTCTCATCAACATTTTCTAGAGGTCATATCTTTTGGAATAGGCGACATAATATTATATAGAATAACTTGAATTTGGAAGAGTAAACTTTACACTAGGGAAACAAAAATTATATATAAATTACTTTAGGAATTAATACTAATCATAAATTATCCAAATTTCAGCAAAAAATTGGCATATTTAAAAATGAATTTATATAGTCCTTATTTTATGTAAATCCATTAATGCTCTTTTGAGAAGACTATATATGGCAATGTGATGTAATCCACCAAAGTCAGAAAGAATTAAAGTAGTGGTCTAAATTTGCTATAAATTTGTTTTAAGTTAAATCAAGTTCAAAGAATATGAAGCACGCGATGTAAAGAGGTTTATATTGTTGATTCCAAATATTAACCAACATGGTCAATAATACCAAAAATAATTATAAATTAATGTGAAACAAGTAAAAAAGTATCAGTCGGTTTTTACCTTTGGATGTATACCATCAGCTATGGTCGGTTTATTTAAACATATTTTGAAATCCGTAATTATTATTTTTCATGTTGAGCATTTATAGGGGAAGTTCCGAAGGAATTGGCTAATATTGTCTAACTCCTCTCTGATATATGTCTGATATAAATATTACAACGTGCCATATTTGGACTATATCACTTGATATGAGATATGTGATAATTTTTAGAGAATATTGAAATGTGCGTGAGGTGCCAGATATAGTAGATCGAAGTATTCAACTTCATCTAATACTTACAAAAATATAGGGATCTGTAAAATGTAAAGAAAATCGAACATTTATTTTCAATTTTATGCGAATAATTGTAAAAAAGAGGTATCAGAGGGAGTGGGCACAAAAATTCATTCACATCAGATCTCTTTTTGAGGGAAAGATTAAGATATACTTGGTTTGAATTGAATCGCTGTCTTATGTGATCGTTTGTGTGGGAGTTGCCACAAGGGGTAAGTCGATATCTATCATCTTCACACCATATCTTGTGTTATTAGAAATATTGATATGTGTGGAGTTTGAATAGAATCGGACGCTCATCTCGCATTTTTAGGGTGTTTTGTTTTTAAAAATGTGATCTATCTGTGGGGGAGGTACTAGAAGGAGTAGATCGATGTATTTCATCTTCACACCAGATCTTGTGTTAATAGAAATATTGGGATGCGTGAAATTTTAAGACAGTCGGATGCTTATTTCACATTTTCATTCATTCAAAATTTTGACCCCTTGTGGGGGAGGTAACAGAAGTTGTGGTCCGATCTCTACCATATTTATAACAGATCTTGTGTTAATGGGATGTGCAAAGTTTGAATGGAATCGAATGTAAATTTCGCGTTTTATGAGCTTCATGGGTATTCCAAATTTTGACCCTTCGGGGGAAATAATGGGATGTGTAAAATATGAAGATAACTTTTTTCGGATCTTATGCTCGTTTTGGTTATTCATAACGTTGACCATTTGTGTGGGAGGTACCAGAAGGAAAGTTCCGATCTTTACCATCTTTATAACATATCTTGTTTTGATAGATATATTGATATGTGCCAAGTCTGATTGGAATCGGATGTCAATTTCGCGTTTTATAAGCTTCATGAATATTTAAAATGTTGACCCTTTGTGAGGGATGCACCAGAAGGAGTGGGCCGATATATTTCATCTTCACAACAGGCTCTTTTTTGTGTACAATAAATTATTTTCTTTGAAAATGTCGACATTTTTTGTGGGAGGTATCAGAAGGAGTTGACCGATATTGCCCATCTCCGAACTCAATCTTAGTTTGACAATAATATTTCGATGTACCAAGTTTGAGTTAAATCGGATACTCCCTTCGAGAGTTATCGTGCGCACCAGCCAGTCAGACGGACTTTATTTCGATGAGGCACGTTTTGGCCGTATCAAATGATATATACCCTCCTTTTAGCCATATGACTGAGGGTATAAAAAGGGGGATAATTGAGTACAGCAGCAGAGGAGCTTTAGCCTCAAAAATAATAATAATAATAATAATAATAATAATAATAATAATAATAATAATAATAATAATAATAATAATAACAAGTAAAAAAGTATCGGTCGGTTTTGCCGACAGATGTATACCCTCAGCCCTATCCACCCTCTATGGAGTGGGTTTTGAAAGAATCGTTCAATATTGTCCATTTCGTATCCCACATAAATAAATATGATATAAATATAATTATATATAAAACTAATTATATATGTAAACAAATAAATTATAGTAGATGGATATAGCAAATGTAAAGAATCGCTTAATCGCTTCGTAATTTATGATAGATGAAAATATTGAAAATTGTGTCCTTTTGTGGGTAAGGTGCCAGAAGGTATTCGAAGATATATAGCATCTTCACAACAGATCTGGTGTTAGCAAAAATTATTGTATGTGTGAAATTTGAAGAGAGTTGGATCCTTATTTCGCTTTCTTTGAGTGTTATGTTTTTCAAAATTAGATTATTGCTTCCCTTTCTGTGCAGAAAATATATATTTTTAAAATTTCGACCATTTGTGGGGGATGTACCAGAAGAAGTGGACCGATATACTCCATCTTAACACCACACCTTGACTAATAAAATGATTAGGATGGGTGAAATTTGAAGACAATCGATCTCTTAAATCACATTTTATGAGAGTTGTAATTATTCACAATTTTGACCATTTGTGGGGGAGGTACTTGAAGGAGTGAACCGATATTATCCATTTTAAGACCAGACCTAGCACTGATGCAAATATTAGGATTTGCAAAGTTGGAGCAAAATCGGATCATCGTTTCTCTTTCTGTGCAAAAAATATATGATTTGCAAATTTCGACCTTTTGTGGGGAGGTACCAGAAGGAGTGGACCGATATTGTCCATTTTTACACCTAACGTAAAACTGATGCAAATATTAGGATTTGCAAAGTTGGAGCAAAATCGGATTATCCCTTCTCTTTCTGTGCAAAAAATATATTTTTCGCAAATTTCGACCTTTTGTGGGGGAGGTACCAGAAGGAGTGGACCGATATTGTCCATTTTTACACCTAACGTAAAACTGATGCAAATATTAGGATTTGCAAAGTTTGAGCAAAATCGGATTATCCCTTCTCTTTCTGTGCAAAAAATATATTTTTTGCAAATTTCGACCTTTTGTGGGGGAGGTACCAGAAGGAGTGGACCGATATTGCTCATCTTAACACCAGACCTTGGGTTAATATAAATATTGGGATGTGTAAAATTTGAAGACAATCGGACTCTTAAATCAAATTTTATGAGAGTTGTAATTATTCAAAATTTTGACCATTTGTGGGGGAGGTACTTGATGGAGTGGACTGATATTGTCCATTTTCACACCTGACCTAGCACTGATGCAAATATTAGGATTTGCAAAATTTAAAGCAAAATCGGATTTTCCCTTCTCTTTCTGTGCAAAGAATAAATTTTTTGCAAATTTCGACCTTTTGTGGGGGAGGTACCAGAAGGAGTGGACCGATATTGCCCATCTTCGAACTCGATCTAAGTTTGACAAAAATATTACGATGTACCAAGTTTGGACCAAATCGGATACTCCCTTCGAGAGTTATCGTGCGCACCAGCCAGCCAGACAGACAGACAGACGGACGGACGGACGGACGGACATCGCTAGATCGACTCCAAATGTTCTGAAACGGATTTGGTCCAAAGAGACCTAGGGTCTAAAACCGTTATTTCGACTAGGCACGTTTTGACCGTATCAAATGATATATACCCTCTGTAGCCATATGGCTGAGGGTATAAAAATTGTTTTTGGTACAGCAGTTATTAGAGTGGTAAAGATGGATCAATTCTAATGTGTTCACACTGATAGTTTGCTTAACCAGTAGCCTCTGTCTCACTCCTATAAGAGTTGGGCAGTGGCAGAGTAAATGTTCCACCGTCTCGGTTTCTTTCTCGTCCTGACAAAGTGTCGTCAAACCCACCCCCCATTTGGTAAAAGGTGGAGTGCCACGGGTCCAAATGTCTCTGTTAGGTATATGTATATCAAGTAGTTCAAAGCTATGACCAGGTGATATATGATCGCTAGCTATAGCCTGATTTACTATGCTTCCCACATACTTGAGAATGGCATACAAAATTAGAATCGAGCCGGAGCAAATGAAAGTCTGTTTCGATAAAGTCTATACCCATGATTTCAAAATGTTTAGCAAAATTGTATTGCAATATACCACCTGTCTGACTATTCTTTCTGGGCGTATGAAAAAGATTGCTATTCAAAATTAATAATTCTGGTCCAAAGATGGGCTCAATATAATGGTAAAATTCCGGTTATATTTTATTCAAAATATAAATATTTTCAGTTAAGATTTTTGAAAAAAAATTAAAGGTTTAACCATCTTTTGGGATGAGTATAAACGTTGAAAGTAATGCAAAAAAAAAAAAAAAATAATTTCATTTTTGAATTTTTTGAATTTTGATTTGATTATAGTGACACTTTCTTGGGCTTTTGAACCGGTTATATCCATTTGGATATCATAAAAAAATCTCATAATCACCCTCCGTGGCCATAGCCTTTTCATTTAATTTCCTTTTTTGTTTTATAAATTTCTTTATTTATTTTATTTTTCTCCCATCTCATTTAGCTTTAAACTCAGCGGAAGATAATCGACAACAGCAACAACAACAACAGCAGCAGCAACAAATTGCCCAGCAACATCATCAACAACAACAACAGCAGCAGCAACAACAACAACAACATGTTGCCGTGCAACAATCAAACGATGCAATAAAGGACGAAAAGCCTTCCTTCATAACAAATGGCAAAATTCCCACTAGTAATCAACAGATAATAATGCAGCACATCTCTACAGCTGCATCGACGGCAACACCATCCACATCAGGAGCAACTACAATAACATTGGGCACACCAAAAGCCGAGATCAAGGATGACGGCAGTGTCGTTGTAGGAGGAAAAATACATCCCGGCATTGAAATGTATAAAGTTAATATTGAAGATATATCACAGTTGTTCGCCTACCATGAGGTCTTTGGAAAGATTCATGGTGATGTTATAAATCATCCATTGGCAGCCGCACATGCCGGCATACCAGTTTCAGCTAATAGTAGTATAGTAGCACCTACCGTTACGGCCACCAGCAGCAATGCAAATGAATCGCAGCAACAACAGCAGCAGCAGCAGCAACAACAACATCAACAGCAAGCCGGCGGTACTGCTGGGGTGGCCAATAGTGGCGGCAGCAATATGCCACAACAACAACAGCAGCAGCAAACAACAGAGTCGACCATAACTACAACGGCCACTGGAGCTGTGGCCACTACCAGTGCAGCAACGGCAATTGCCAATACCACCGGCACTGCAGTAGCCACCACAACGGCTGGCGGGGCAGCAGCTGGTCTACTTTTGCCCAAAATGGAGGGTGGCATTGCCGTCGATCAAAGCCAGATAACTTTGGCGCCCGATGGAACGGTTGTCTCCACCGGTGAACATGTCTGCGATATCTGTGGCAAAATGTTTGCCTTCCGCTATCAATTGATTGTACATCGTCGCTACCACACCGAACGCAAACCGTTCAATTGTCAGGTTTGCGGTCAGGGTTTCTTTACCTCACAGGATCTAACGCGTCATGGTAAGATTCATATAGGCGGACCCATGTTCACCTGTGTCGTTTGTTTTAATGTTTTCGCCAATAATGCCTCGCTTGAGCGTCATATGAAACGACATTCGACCGATAAGCCCTTTGCCTGCACCATTTGTCAGAAGACATTTGCGCGCAAAGAACACTTGGAGAATCACTTTCGGTCGCATACCGGAGAGACGCCGTTTCGGTGTCAATATTGTGCAAAGACCTTTACACGCAAGGAACATATGGTGAATCATGTGCGCAAGCATACGGGAGAGACACCACATCGTTGCGATATTTGTAAGAAATCCTTTACACGCAAGGAGCACTATGTTAATCACTATATGTGGCACACTGGTAAGCGAGGAATGTTTATCTTTGAAAAATAAAACATTTTTTTAAATATTTCGCTATTTCTATTTTTCTGCTCCATTTATAGGTCAAACTCCTCATCAGTGTGAAGTATGCGGCAAGAAATATACACGCAAAGAACACTTGGCCAATCATATGCGTTCACATACCAACGATACGCCCTTCCGTTGTGAGATCTGTGGCAAAAGTTTCAGTCGCAAAGAACACTTTACCAATCACATTTTATGGCATACAGGTATGTATTTCGTTGACCGAACGAAAAGATATACTGGTATTTCTGTAAAGGTCCAATTAAAATACAATCGATATTTAATGAGAAAATACTTAATAAGTAAGCGGTTCCCCTTTTCTGAATTGATAAATTTTTCTTTGCAACAGGACTCGGGTCCTTTGTAGAAATCTCGGAAAATTATCTCATCGGTAATAAGTTTTTTATGATTTGAATACTACACCAAATCCACAAAAGCATGTTTGTTATAAATTATACAAAAAATTAAAATCTGACATTTCACTTATTTTTGCTTTGTGAAATCCTCCCAACAGGTTTGTAATTCTTGAAGCTCTGTTTTGCATTTCCAATATTACCTTAAGAATTGTTAGTTTAAATTCTGATTATATTTCTCTCTTTGGAGAGCAGTAGCATAACGATATTTTAAATCGTCTCGATGTGTAACCACCCTATTCCAAATTCAAGTTGTTCCATTATGATATGCCGTCTAGATCCTTATATCTTTTTACTATCCCTTATCTTTCAACATTTGTTATATACATGTTTTCTAAAATATATTTCCAATAGATTTTTATAGTTTTAGCTGATTATAGGATTCAAATCAATTTCTTCTCTTAGTTTTGATTTTGTCATCTTTTTCGGGTTTAAGGATAGTACCTTTACAAACTTTTAAAGGCTGATTTATTATTTGGTTTTTGAGTTTTTCTTCTATTTGATGGTATTCCTGTGGGGTCTAATTTCAACATTAGACTACTTTTTCCTGAAGAAATTTAGGGCCTGACAGTATATATTTTTGTGGGCTCTAGCCATAGAATTTCTGGACTGAGTTTGCTAGGTTTGTCAGGACAGTTGAAAACATGCTGCGCATTGTGCGTTTCTGTATCGCACGCTGGACAGACGTTCCGCACATCTTCATTAATTCGTAGTTGGGGCAAAACTACCCTGGTTACCTAGGCAGCCGACGTTCTTCAGCTGCAAGTGATTGGGTGTGGACTCCGAGCATGGCATTCATACTGTGATGGTTAACTACATCAGCGACTACTTCAGTATGAATGCTATCTAGACCCACGTTCCGCACATCTTCTAACTCGTAGTTGGGCCAGAACTACTCTGGTTGCCTAGGAAGCAAATGTTCTTCAGCTACAATGATTGGGTGGACTTCGAGGATGACATTAATACTGTAATTGTTGACTACATTACTGCATCAGTATCAATCCTATTCAGACCCACTTGATAGGCTTTTTGATATAGAGGCTCTCTTGTACCACTAGGCTTCTAGATCATTCAGGTCCTTCCTAACACGCCTGGATGGGCGTGTCACGTGAGAAGGCATCCTCTTTTGCAGTTCTCAAGGTGGCATGGTCTGAATAGTTTTCCATTGCTTCGCAATCGTATTCGCAGACCACACTGGTGCCGCATAGCTAACCACGGACCGACCTATTGTTTTATAAGGGGTCAAGAAAGTTTTCTTATCCGGCTAGCCCTTGAGGATCTTGTTTCTACTTTTCAATTTATCGCAGATAGCTGTGCTTGCCCTGGAGGGAGTAATTTTTCTGTGGTAGCATGCAATTATTTGTTGCATCATTCTGTTGAGCGGATAAAACCTGGTGTAATGAGAAGATTTTATGTTTGAATGATTTCCCAAAGCGTTGAAATAAATTCGTATAGCTACACAGACCGGCCTACTGACTTGTAAATGTCAAAACAAGGTTTTTAGCGATCTCTTAATATTTACAGGGTCCCTTTAGGGCGACGAATATATTCATTTTTCTTATGTAAAGAAGTCCCTGGAATCCCCATTCGACTGGTGTCCACACATGAAGTGCAATGTCCAACGTATCAGGGCCAAAGGTTATTCTCCTCTTTATCTTCAACTAGCTTGACTTGGTTGGCCATATCAAATGTCTTCAATAGATTTTGACTACGATTTTACCGCCTGGTTATATGTTAGAATTATTTGAGTGGACATGCACTTTACGCAACCCACGATGATGTTGGACAGCTAGTATTTTTTGCCTACTTGAGATTGATGTACGATTCGCACCTGCAGGCATTCTTGTCTAGCATAACACCCTGTTAATATTTATGACATGAGACTATGTGACTGGGTATTGACAAGTTGATGAAAGCGGTAATGTACTCGATTCCTCCGCATGATATTGTCTTGCATGGCTCATCTACAAGACCGCTACCTACGTTGCAGAGCATTAGATGGTCTCTCCACCCGTACTCATCATAAAGGTTACTTATTCCATCGCTTCTGCGGGATCATTATTTGCGTTATCGACATGCAAGAATAAAATCCTATAAGGGAACCATAGAAATTAGTGCAGGTTCAAAATCTCTTTATTGCCATTTATTGGCCCCAATGATGGGATATTTGTTTTTTTCTCCGCCCTAGCCTCATGCATTCCCCGTATGGGTCACTATTTCTCACTATGCAAATTTCTCAACTTCTCACCTTGTACAATACTTTTGCGGCATCGTTGCTGCCCACATGGGTCATTTTGCTTTGTTTCTTAGGTCCCTTATACGAACATATAACTGTAGAGATGCAAGTCAGACCCTCTATCAGACGATACAGACCTACCGATTCATATGTTTTTGTTTAAATATCATGCCGATAAATACTGGAATTTAAGAAAGGGGCACTAACAGTAGCAAATTTACATAAAGACGAGATATTTACACTACATTTTTTTGACTTGAGTTTTTTTGCATTGAATAAATTTCATGTCAGTTTGGGAAATACAAATTCTTAAATTTAAATGCTCTTTCTTCCACACACACATACACAAACCTCGTTCCCACGTTAAACGATAAATGAAAGAAAAAAAAGTTAAAATCTATTGAATTTTAATTGGATGATCAGAAAAAGAAATCATCATCACTTTTATATTTTTTAAATATTTTTTTATTAAGAATATAAATAAAACAAAAACAAAAATGTTCAACAATACCCTTCTTCTCTTCTTCTTGTTCTGTCTCGCTTTTACAGGCGAAACACCCCATCGTTGTGACATCTGCTCGAAAACTTTTACGCGCAAAGAACACTTATTAAATCATGTGCGACAGCATACGGGCGAATCACCGCATCGTTGCACCTATTGCCCGAAAACGTTTACGCGCAAAGAACATCTAACCAATCATATACATCAACACACCGGTGAGATAATATCCATCCAATAATGCAATTTTTTTTAAAAACCTTAATTTAAAATTAAAGCAATCTTTTAATGGTGGTGGTTTTTATTAACAATTTTGTAATTAAAAAATAAATTTAAATAATTAAATTTACTATTTTTTAAATATTTTGCCCATAAATTGTTGTTTTGTTTAATGATGTTAGAAAAAAATAACTTGTTTAAAAACTCCCACCATTAAACAGTGATGTCGATCCATTCCCTCTCAAATACCAAACATGATTAAATGTATTTATTGTATTTTAATTGGATAGTTTAGGGCATGTGTGAAATACTAAAATTTGGATGAATTTAAAGTTTAATCTAAAGACTAATGTTTTTCAATAATAATCTGAGATCTTTAACAAGATTTGTAAAGTAAATTTAAAAGAAATCCAGTGTTTGGAAGTATCGTATTGTATACATATTTATTTAATATTCATACTTCCAAGAAAACGTTTATACTTCCTAGTACACTTTCATACTCCCTTTCGTGAACTTAAACCTTTAATGAGTACAGTAACATACAGAGTGGGATAAAAAAAAACTGTAACAAAATCAAACGCCATAATTTTTACACTTTTTTTTTAAATTTTATTGAATGATGGCAAAAAATGTCGGAAATAGCATCAAATTTTAGAATAAGTTTAGATTTATTCGGATTGGTCACCTTTGCCACGAATTATGGCCTTCAAACGGCCAATGAAACCGTCACACGCTGCCCGAATGTTGCTCTGCGGTATTTTGGCCCATTCCCGGAGAAGCGCTTGCTTGAGTTTATCAACACTTTGGTATTTTTTAGTGCCAACCTTGCTTTCCAAAATACTCCAGACACAATAGTCCAACGGATTGGTATCCGAAGATTTTGGTGGCCATTGTGCGATGGAAATGAAGCGAGGAACCTCAGTTTGTAACCATTCTTGGGTGGCTCTTGCTGAGTGCCATCCATGGTGCCGAGTCATGTTGAAATATCCAAGGTCTGCGGCCAAAAGGTTTTCGTGCCCAAGGTTTTAATACACCCTCCAGAATATTTTTGCGATAATATTCGGCATTCTGATGATTAATACGAGCGGAGAGCGACCATCGGCTGTTATGGCCATCACCACGGCCAGCGCTTGAGTTTTGGTGGCCAATCGAAGGTGCACATTTTCAGCTGACCTCTTTGGCAAGTAAACACGATCATTTTGTTTGTTTACAAACTGCTGGACAGCGAATGTTTTCTCATCGGAGAAAACCAAATTCGACAGTTCACCACTTTTGGCCAAGCAAAGCAACTCTTTAGCTCTTTTGAGTCTAATTTCTTTCTGGTTGCGGTGTAGGTTATTGCACTTTTTGGAATTTCAATTGCGTTACCCCCCGAGCCCATTTTTCAATATTTTCCGAATGGAATATTGCGATATGTTCTGCTCACGAGCCATCTTTCGGCCACTGCGACGCGGGTTTCGATCAAGTCGCTTCTTTACTTTTCGAACCATTTCTGCTGATGTTGCTGTTTTCTTTCGTCCAATTCCTTGTCGTCGGGGTATGCTATCAGTATCATGGTAACGAGCGATGCTACGAGACACAAAAGATTTATTAACATTTAAATGCTGGAGTGCTCTAACGATAGCCACTTGTCTTTACAGTTAAATATAAAGAAATCACACTATCACGCTTGAATTCCATCACGAATATTTTTTTCTGGAAAATTCTCACCAAAATACTTTTGTACGCTTGTAAACAGTATAATGAACTGGAATAATTTTAACAGTTGTCGGACGAGTGTCATTTCTAAAAGCTCAAGTTGGTTGCAGTTTTTTCATCTCACCCTGTACTCCTAGAACACTTTCATACTCACACTTGCGTTAACTTAAACCTATAAAGAGTAGTATGTGTAGGGATTTTTTTTAAGAATAGTTCTATTAACATGCTTCTAGAACACTTTCGTGAACTTAAACCTTTACAGAGAATAAGAATAATTATATTAACAATACTTATTTTAAGAGCTGTCATGATTTCCAATAGGATAACTCATTTGAGGAGTGAATCACGCATGCCCTTCATTATATCATACCTAAATTTATTAGTTTATTTTTGTTTTTTTTTTTTTTACTCTCTAAAAAATAATAATGATTAATGTGGTCCTTGCACATCCTTTCCTCTTTTCGCTGTTTTTAGGCGAAACTCCTCATCGTTGTGATTTCTGTTCGAAAACGTTTACGCGCAAGGAACATTTATTAAATCATGTGCGACAACATACAGGCGAATCACCTCATCGTTGCACCTATTGTATGAAAACGTTTACGCGCAAGGAACACTTGGTCAATCATATACGACAACATACAGGCGAGACGCCCTTTAAGTGTACCTACTGCACCAAGGCTTTTACCCGAAAGGATCACATGGTGAATCATGTGCGACAACATACTGGCGAATCACCGCACAAGTGTACATTTTGTGCCAAGACTTTTACGCGCAAAGAACATCTAACCAATCATGTACGCCAGCATACGGGCGAGTCGCCACATCGTTGCAGCTACTGCAAAAAGACCTTTACCCGTAAGGAACATTTGACGAATCATGTGCGCCTGCATACAGGCGATTCGCCGCACAAATGTGAATACTGTCAGAAGACATTCACACGCAAGGAACATTTGAATAATCACATGCGTCAGCATTCGAGCGATAATCCCCATTGTTGTAATGTCTGCAACAAGCCATTTACGCGCAAAGAACATTTAATCAATCACATGTCACGTTGTCACACCGGCGATCGTCCATTTGCCTGTGAGACATGCGGCAAATCGTTCCCGCTCAAGGGTAACTTGCTCTTCCATCAACGTAGCCATACGAAGGGTCAGGAAATGGAGCGGCCATTTTCATGTGAAAAATGTCCCAAGACATTTATATGTAAAGGTAAGTGGGAAGGAAATGTTGGCACAAAAAAGTGAGGTTAAGGATTATAAGAACTATACAGATAACTTTTTTCGTAATAAAAATTGTTAAAGGACTTAATCTGGCAACGCTATGCCTGAATAAACGTGGTTTTTGTTCATCGCAGCTTTTCATTCTTCAAATGAATAGAATTTATTAATAAATCGGACGCATTATACACATTCTTCGGAAATTGCAGTTTGTTGCATGACTTGTTGTTAAAATTAAATTTAAAATACCGCTTTATACACAATATTGCATAATTGTTATTTTGCTGCTAAATTGTTGCTGTGCTGTTGGTTGCTGATTTTGTTGCTGCATTTTATTGTTGCTCTTGTTTGCCTTGTTTTTGGATGCTTCTTCTGTTTTTTTCTCCAAGTAACCAAAAATGCCTAGTGCGGAGAAATGTGGTATTTGCAACAATTCTATAACAAAATCCCAAGGAAGCATTATGTGTAAAATGTGTAATAAATGGATACATGCCGCCTGTGCTAATATCAATGAAAAAGATTTAGCTGCTTTAAAATCTGTCAAATCCAGCATTTTTACTTGTGTCTCATGTGAGAACTGTCAACGAACCAATCCCAATAGGAATAGCATATCGGACGAGTTTCGGAGTCTTAATGCTAAGTTAGATGGCATAATAATGAGTAACCAGACTGAAAAGAACTCCATTAAAGCAGCTCTGGATGAAATTAAAAATGAGATGAGATCTTATTTAACTGAACTTAAATCCGATATTAATAGCTGCAATGAAAAAGTGAGCAACCTAAAATCTGCTACAGATTCAAAAATATCAGATCTCCAGGCTGAAGTGAATGTGTTACATCGCAGACTGAATAGAGCTGACTTTTTAATCAGCGGCTTGCCTGCTGGGTTAACAGACTTGGTTGCCCCGGTAATGGCGTTAAGCTCATTTTTTAATGTGTCGCTTTCTACTCATGATATCAATTATATTGGCTACATAAGCAACGGAAAACAGATCCTAGTTAAGCTGAATAATGTTAATGCCCGCGATTTAATCATGAAGGAGTATTTCAGAACCAGGACTCTTAAAGTGTTGGACATAATTAAAGGTGAAGGTGGTGACCTGTCAAATAGAGTTTACCTAAACGACCATTACACTCCTGCTGCGGCATATCTAAATTCGCTCTGTATAAGGCTTCGCCGACAAGCAGTTATAACCAATTTAAGGTTCTAAATTCAGACATACTGAAAGCCAAACTGATACTCACAGATGGCACCGAAATTTTTGCAGATGCTAAGAAATGTTCTTCTTTGTTAAATAACTCTGAACAAGTTCAAAATTAGTGTAATACAACTTCAGAAATTGACTGTTCTACTTAATCTTTATTAATGAATTGAAAATTGAACTCATATTAAAAGTGAAGAGCTGCATGAATGTTATTGCAATATTGTTCTTCTTTATGGAAATATTATTGTATTTTAAAAAATTTGTATTAAATATCTTTTTTTGGCTCCCCATTTTCAATTTTTGGCTCTGTCGTAATGTCATTTAGTGAAAATCTAGGTCCAATAATTAACGATAACTCGTACATTAAATCCGTGTTGTGTCCGTATAGTGATAACTTAAAAGTGGCTCATCTAAATTGCAGGAGCATCAAGCCTAAAAACAAACTTGATGAACTGAGACTTATTTTAAAGGGCAATGTGTTCCATATTTTTGCTGTGACAGAAACGTGGCTCATGAATGAAATTTGCAATAAAGCCGTTTCTTTACCTGGATATAGACTTTGCCGGAATGATCGCCAGACTCCAGGTAGAGGAGGTGGTGTAGGTTTATTTATTGTTAATGGTCTCCCCTACAAAACGGTGTTGAAAACCTCTTTTCCTGGATGTGAATCGCTTTTCGTTAAGTTGTGCTTTGATAATATTGAAATCTTGTTTGGCGTGGTTTATTTACCAACTGGTAATTTATATGATTTTGAGTGTCATCATATGGATTTATTTTCGGAGCACCAAAATATAGTTATTTTTGGTGATTTTAATAATAACCTATTTGATGATACTAAGTCTAGTAATTTTCGCTCACTGTGCATAAGATATAATTTGTCAATTGTTCACAATTCTAAGCCCACACATTTTGATTTAAGAACAAGAACAACTTCATTAATAGATTTCATGTTGGTAAGTGATGCTTCATTTGTTAACTTTAGTGATCAAGTTCAGTGTCCGTCTGTCTCTGACCATGCCCTACTTTTCGCGTCTCTTTCCTTAAGTTATTATAAGCCGCTTGAATTCCTGGAGTACCGAGATTACAACAACATGGATTGGGATAGATTTCTGTTGATCTTGCGTGCTTTTGACATGAATTTACTGCTAAGTGAACCTGATGTAAACATCAAATGCTCTCAAATTAGTTCTCTAATTGGTAGCTTATTTGCCTGTGTACCTGTTGTTAGGAAAAGGGTACAACTTCGCACAGAAACATGGATTAAGGCTAGCGATGTCACATTTGCTAGATCCGTTAGAGATTTAGCTTTTAATGCATTTCAATTAGACCGTTGTCAGGAGAATTGGGCTGTTTACTGTAAATATAGAAACAGGGCAAGGACCGTTATTAGAAGGGCAAAGAGGAAACATTTTGTAGCAATGTTTGGCAGGTTAGATACATCTGGCGTTTGGAAATTGTTGCGTAATGCAGGTTATGTAAATCAAAATCATTCTGTTTTTGATATTGATGTGGATGACATAAATTGTTCCTTTATTAACACTGACCATAGACCTGCAGGGCAAGTGGACTTTATGCAGGATGTTGATTCTAACACGTTATTTTCTTTTCGATACGTTGAGGAGGCTGAAATTTTTGAAGCATTGCACAAAATTCACTCTAAATCAGTAGGGGTGGATATGATACCCATACGATTTATTAAGTTAATTTACCCGTACGTCATGGATATATTTTTACACTTCGTGAACTATATATTAGTAAGCTCAACTTTTCCACTTGCATGGAAAAAAGCTCGTGTTGTCCCCATCCCCAAATCGAATAATGTTAGTTGCCCAGATGACCTTCGCCCAATTTCTATACTACCATCTGTATCTAAGATAGTAGAGATTATAATGAAGAATCAAATTGTGGAATATACTTCGAGTCTAATATCTGACACTCAATATTCATTTCGAAGAGGGCATAGCACTACACACTTGCTTATAAAGGCAACGGATAATATACGCCAGAATATCAACGAGGGCAGAGTAAGTGTACTTGTTTCTCTGGACTTATCAAAAGCTTTTAACTCCGTAGATCACATAATTATGATAAATAAACTTAAGAATATATTTAATTTTTCGTCCACGGCGTGTAGGCTTATGTATTCTTATCTCAGTGATAGGTCCCAGTTTGTGGCTCTGAACGGTTGTCAGTCGGATACTATTTTGACCTATAGTGGCATACCGCAGGGGTCGGTATTAGGACCACTTTTATTTATTTTGTATGTGAATGATCTTAAGGATGTCACTGATTCTGATTCATGCAAAACTTATCAATTCGCGGATGATATTTTCCTCCTTTTTAGTGGTGACCGTGAGTCGCCGTCAGTGTTTGAAAATCGCATTAATACGTGCCTTGTTCAGTTTTCATATTGGTCATCCATGAATTTACTTACAATAAATCCAACCAAAACAAAGGCCATGATGTTTGGAGCATTTAAAAATCATACTATTAATATAAAGTTGCTTAATGATGATGTGGAATTTGTCCCCCATCATAAATGTTTAGGAGTGGTAATTGATAATGAGTTGTCTTTTAAGAATCATATTGACATCATATCTGGGAAGGTGTGGTCTTATTTACGACGGTTTTATGCATGTAACCTATATTTACCTTGCTATGTAAAGGAAAAGTTGGCGCATGCTCTGTTAATGTCTACAATATTATATGGCATTGAGGTAGTGTCCGGTGCTACTGGTATTCACCTTCTCCACTTACGAAGAATCGTAAATTCTATAGTTCGGTTTGTATATAAGGTCCGTGGAAGAGAGCATATATCTGAATATGTGAAACGGTTTATCGGATGTTCATTTAATGAATTAATTACCTGTCGTAATCTCGTATCCTTTTATAATATAATAAGAAGTGGTAGACCAGTTTCTTTGAGGATGAGTTTCACATTTTCTCATTCAACTAGAAACCCTCAAATTTTTATTCCTAGGATCTTTAGAAATGATTATGCACGATCGTTTCTGGTACGGGTCGCGCGATGTTGGAACACATTACCCCAGGAATTAAGAGTTTTTTCACATTCTAACAATGTTTTTCGATTTAAAACTGTTTCAACATCTTGCATCCTAATTGTTGTTGTTATATGTAGCAGTTTTATTACTTGATTTTTTTTTTTTTTTTTTTTTTTTTTTTTTTTTTTTTTTTTTTGCTATCTAATCTAAAAGTTATTGTTAACATGGACATTAATTACCTTGTATTCAAATTTTTATGGCTGGGGAGCCAATAACAATAATAATAATAATAATAACAAGTACTTTATATAGTAGTATAATGTATGTACGTATGTATATATCATGAAATTGTGAATTTATTTACTTTTATTATTGAATTGTTTTTTAACTCAGGTTTAAGGTAGGCTATGTAATAATTATGTATGGTCTATTAGGCCTTTTTATTACAAATGGATTAATAAATAAATAAATAAATAAATAAATAAAAGAGACACAAATGTAAATGTTTTGTAAAACACTCTTCAGGGTTAAAACTTAACAGGGATTAAAATGTAAATGTTTTGAAAAATATTATTTAGGATAAAAACGGATTTTATGCGCCACTAACAAAGTCAGAAAAGTATATTTTATACAAAAATTTATTTGCGAAAGAAATGTTGGCAGAAGATGTGAGGTTAAGGACTATTAGAACAATAAAGATAATAATTTTGTATTAAAATTTGTTAGAGATCCTAAAAGAAGGACTTACAAATGTAAATGTTTTGTAAAACTCTCTTAAGAGTAAGAACCGGACTTTATGAGGGACTAACAAAGTCAGGAAAAATTTAAGGAAATAAAAAGATTAGTTTTTTAAATTGAGAAACTTTTAGAGGGGCAATCAGAGGTACCGATTAGGATTTTTAAATGTTTTCAAGAACCATATTCAACTTTTTCATTTTAGGCATTTTTGGGTACATTCAGAGAATTGTTTTTAAGATTTTTTTGGGTACCTTCAGAGCAATAAATATGGATTTTGAGATATTTTTGGGAAATTATGATTAGAGAATATTTTAAGATTTTCGGAGTAACTTCAGGTCCATTAATTTTTTTGAAGGACTTTCTTAAGATTTCTTAATGGACAATATTTTTGTCGACATTGGAGACTCAATTTTATATACCCTCCACCATACCTAGTATGGAGGTTATATTAAGTTCGTCATTCCGTTTGTAACTCATCGAAATAATAATTTTAGACATAACAAAGTATATATTTTCTTGATCAGCGTAAAATGTGTAAGATGTTTTAGGCCTGTCCTGTCCCATCCGTCCTCCTGTTGTAATCACGCTAGAGTCAAAACGAATAAAGATAGGAAGCTCAAATTTTGCACAGATCAGTATTTTCAGGTAGGTCAAGTTCGAATATGAGCTATATCGGTCCACGACATCGTATAGACCCCATAGAACGGTACCCCCCATATTCGGTATTTTGATGATTTTAGCCACATTTTTCAATGATATTGTCTGAAAGTACACACAAAGAGTTTCTTTTGAGTACACTTTACCCTCTGGAAGAGGATTGTCTATATAGGACCACAATTTAGCCTCCATATAAGTGTACCTCCAGATATTTGGTATTTTGATGATTGTACCCACTTTTCCAACGGAATTGTCTGAAAATCCACACAAAGAGTTCTTTCTGAATACTTTACCCCCTGAAATAGAATAGGTCCACGATTTCGTATAGCCCCCATACAACGGTACCCCTCGATATTATTCGGTATTTTTATGATTTTAGCCACATTTTCAATGAAATTGTCTAAAAATAAACACTAGAATTTCCTTTTGAGTACTTTACCACCTGAAATTATATAGCCTGAATATTATAGGCCTGTGATATCGCGCATAGCTCCCATATAACTGTACCTCCCGACATTCGCCATTTTGATGGTTTTAGCCACATTTTCCAATGAAATTGTCTGGAAATATACACAAGGAGTTCTTCCTGACTACTTTACCACCCGAAAGAAAATTGTCTATATAGGCCTATGATATCGTATAGCCCCCATACTACGGTACCACCCGATATTCGGTATTTTGATGATTGTAGCCAACAATTTCAATGAAATTGTCTGAATTCCATACTAAAAGTTTTTTCCAAGCACTTTATTCCCTGGAAGAGAAATGTCTATATAGGTCCACGATATCGTATAACCCACATACAACGGTATCCCCCAATATTCGAAATTTTGGCGATTTTGCAGACATTATTCACCGAAGTATAGGACAGACATTATTCACCGAAGTAATTTCGTATTTCGATATCGTAATGGATACTACAGCCTATGACAAAAAATTTAGTATGCAGATCCAGGTCTTCGTATATAGGCTCCATATATCAGAACCTCACTATATTCGGTATTTTGATAATTTTAGTTACATAATTTACTGGATTTTTTCAAGTTTCGTGTATGAATATTTCAATGGCTTATGCAGGTCCACGTCTTCGTATAGACCCCATTGTAACGGCTATATTCGGTATTTTTAAGATTTTAACAGAATTTTTAGCGGATGTTATCTTTTTGAAAATTTCCAAATTCGTTCCAAATGCTGGTATTACAGCTTTTTTAATTGTTTACCCTTAAGATTTATTAAGAGATTATTTAAAAATTTTTTGAACGACTTTCTAAGGATTTCTTAATGGAACATTTTAATCTGCAAAATTGGATATTTGAGTATATTAGCTACAAAGTAAATCTAAAAAACATTCTCTATCCTAGTTACAATATATTTAAGGTACAATCGGAGCTAGAAACATAATATTTTAAAAATTTAAAATTTAAAAAAAAACTTTAGAATGACTATTTCTGGCAAAAATGTAAACATTTTTGTTTAAATTTTTAAGAATGCTTTTGAGATACTATTTGAACTACAAATGTGGATATTTCAGGAGTATTATTAAAATATATTTTGGGGGTTATATCTCTTTATATTTTAAGAATATTTCTATTTTACAATTTGACTTACACACGGGATTTAAACGTAGATTTTTAAAAATATTTTAAAGGGACTAAACAAGAATATTTTTGAGCGGGAGTACTCGATCTAGTAACGAATGTATTTTATGAATTACTTTTAAGGTACTATCCAAGCTACAAAGGAGGAATATTACGAGTTATATATTAAGGGATTATTCGAGCTATAAACGTATATATTTGAATAATATTTTGGAGGGCTCATTGAGAATATTTAGAATATTGTTGTAGAACTGTTTGTGGTACAAACATGCAATTTTAAAGTAAACTGTGGGGGTGGTCTGTTGGAGCTGTTTGGATATTTTTAAATACTTTTTTAGACTGTTTGGGTACAGATTTTCCTTATTTTTAAAAATATATATTTTTGGGGAGATTTTTGTGGTTATTAGCGTTTTAAACGCTTGATTTATAAATAAACTGCATAATTATTTTTTTGCACTTTGGTGTAATTATAGAACTTTTATTTATTTATTTTTGTTTTTCTTTTCAATTCTCCAGGTCATTTGGTTTCTCACATGCGTTCTCATTCCGGTGAGAAGCCACACGCTTGTACATTATGCAGTAAGGCTTTTGTGGAAAGGGGCAATTTGAAACGTCATATGAAAATGAATCATCCAAATGCTCCAATGCCACCTCCACCAGTGCCACATCCCATAATACCAGCCGGTGTATTGCCGCAGATAAAACAAGAAATAAAACCAGTTTTAAGTGAATTAAGTGAGTAACTGAAAAAAACGAAAACCTTTTTATGGTTATTTGTTAATAATAATTCTATTCTTTTTCTCGCTTAGCTCCATTGCAAACAGCTCCCATTGCACATACCATACAACATATAACAGCTGGTGCTGGAGGTAATACAGTGCAATTGGCCACAGGACTGGTGCCTTTGGTAACATCGACCATAACATCTCATGCCACGCAGAAACAAGCGCCTCCATCACAAGCCCAGCCGGCTGCTCAGCAGCAACAACAGTTGCAACAGCAGCAGCAACAGGTGGTGAACAGTCATCAGCAACAACAACAACAGGCCGCTGCGGCTGCGGCAGCTGCAGCCCATCAATTGCAACAACATCAGCAGCAGCACCAACAACATCAGCTAATGCAATTATCTTTGCAACAAGCAGCTGCTGCTGCGGCAGCTCAACAACAATTGCAACAACATCAGGAACAGCAAAGACAACATCATCAGCAGCAGCAGCAACAACAACAGCAACAAAATCAACAACAAGCTCATCATCAGCAAGCAGCTAGCAATGTTGTTGTTGCCTCAGCCCATCAAGCCAATCAACAACAGGCCAACCAACAGCAGCAGCAAGCGCAACAGCAACAACAACCACCACCACAAGTGCCAATCGCTTTAATACAAGATCCTGAATTGGCCCGTGCTGCCATGCAACAATTGCAACACATGCCGCCGCCTAATGTTGAACAACATCCAGTTGTTTACTAACAACAAAAGCAAAATGCCAATATCATAATATGGTAAAGGCAAGGATATATGAAATAAATTATAAGAAAAGCAAAACTAATAATAAAAAGAAATAAATAATAACAAGATGAAGTGAAAAGGAGAATATTAAATTTCCTTAGGGATTTTAGAATAAAAAAACCTCTATTCGTTGTGGATTCCTTTCATGTATATTTTTTATAAAACATTCTATTCTGTATTTTTTTTATTGTATAATATCTATTTATTTTTTAAAAATATTTTATATGGTGTGTGTGTGAATGTGAAATTTTTATGACCCCAAAAAGAGCTAAATTAGATTGGATTTTTTCCCTTTTTTCTTGAAAGATGCTTTAATATTTTTTAAGCAACAAAAAAGTTTTACAAGCTATTGGTTTTGAATTTCCCACTGAAGTTCATACTTGGAGAACATTTAAAGTTATTTCGAACCTTTAAAAGGATATTGCCGGAGTAGAACTTTGTCTATGAGTCTATGTACAGGCATAATAAAATCTCTCTGTAGCTTAAAGAAATTGCTCGGTATATGTTTCAAAAATATGTGTGTATAAATAGAAAAATAGACTCTTTGAATATAAAAACTTGTAATTAAGGAAGGATCTTTATTTGAATAGTGGGTATGTATTTAAAAAAAATATTCTTACTAATTATTGAGCATGGATTTTAAAAGCTTTGGACTGGAAGAACCCTAAAAGACTTTAGTGAATGCAAAAGTTTGACAACTTCTGTCAAGCATAAGATCAAAAAATATGAGGTAAAAGTTTCACACATTCACATACATATATCACAACAGATTATTTTTATTTTTATCATCTCATTTGTGCAATTATTGTATACATAGTTCTTTTTTCGAATCAAGTAGCTGGGCTACCTAAAAAAATATAATCAAGAGCATGTTTCATAGAAACAGGAAAACAAAATTGCTCCAAAAATTTGCAATTCTTTCGATTTGAATAAGAAATCCACACACAAAATTCCATACTTCCCGTTTAAACAAAATCCCCAAAAAGAAATTGTTTATTCTCCTTTTCTCACTTTTAATTAGGCTTTAAAACATATTATTTATATACACAAGAAGTTATTTTACATATAAATAAAAAAAATAACTATTAGTTTTTAGCATTAGAAACACACAAAACCAACAAACTTCCCCCTTCTCCTCACATTAACATTTAAGATTAATTGGTAATGAATAATGAAAACAAACACAACCCAGCCTAAAAGTAATTCTGAATTAATTTCAGTAGAGCATTAATTATATTAACAGTAATATATAATAAAAAATATATATAAATACATTAAACATGTTTTTTTTTAATTTCTTCAATCTCTGTTTCCTTCTTCTTCTGTTTTGTTAACCAAATTGATATGACTTTCTCTTTCACACCAACAAAATTGTTATTGCTTTAAAAACGGCAAAAAAAGAAACCTAACAAATATTTTGGTTCCAGAAAAAATGTATTAAAACTTTGCATTTCTCCAACTATTCTATCCCACACGAATATTATTTCAAAGTGTTAAATTGCAAAAAAAAAAGAAACTTAACAACCACACACACACACATGTAATAACGCATATATTATGATGGTATATACATACAATATATAAATAAATAACACTTATATCTAACCAATTGTTTAAAACAAGTAAAAAATGATTTTTTTACACAACAACAACATAACAAGAAAAAAAATTGTTTAGTTTTTAAAAATAAAGAAAAATAATATAAAAATATTAAAACAAAATTGGAACTATATATTCTATATTTTATTAATAATTAATTAATCCTCTTAAAAATAAAACACAAGCATACGACACATCCCCACAAACACCACCCCCCACCACCATCAACATTTAGTTTGTTAGTATTTGTATTTGAATCATAAGTATATAATTTGAAATACCTATTATTAATATACATTAATAAATATATGCTTTAATATTAAAAACAAAAAACTGAAAAACAAAATTATATATAACACATACATTTTAAAAACAATACATTTGATGTTAAATAAAACAAAAAAACAAACACCTTACATTATTTACATACATGGTGCTTCAGGCAAAAAAAATAGGAAAAGCAGATACATACTTGTATAGTGAAATTTGAGGAGAATGTAGCTCCTATTTTCGTGCAATACCATTTTGGAAACAACAGTCATTATCTTTTCACTTCGTATTTGTGCACCACTTTAAATGCCAGTAAAACGCCAGCTATTCTTCCAAAATGTCATGGCTTTTCAGAATGAGTAATGGATTAGTGGTCATAAGAAGCTTGCTCCTCTCGGCATCAGTGCCATTTTATGACTTTTAATTCACTCAAAAAAAAGATTTTTAAGGAAATCTACAAATTTCATTTCCAAAAAGTTGTATTATTGCCCGGCTATTGAAAACAACAACGACAGCGAAATTAAGTATCTGAAACAAAAACTGTAGATGGAGTTTTTTCATAAAAAATAGGTTTTGACAATGGTGTATTTTATCTGTAGATAGCTCCAGAAATACTTTTTTATATTTTCAAACTAGAACAACGGAATTTACTCTTTCTCACACAATCAATTTTTTTTTCGAATCAGGATGACATATTCTCAAAAACTTTTACATTTATTTTTAAGTGGGAGTAACTTCTAAGCCTAAAGAGAATCACATTCAAGGATTTCAATTAGTTTTAACCAAATGGCGCTCAATGCAAATTTCATGACAGTCAAAGCCTTCCTAAGAATCTATATTTACCATAACATCAATTACTACTGACAGTTTTTGATATATTTTTGAATGCGAGTCATAAATGGTTTGATTTTCGAAAAGAAAAATTATTTAAAATCCATGATGTAATGCTTTTAGAATCACCTTTAGAAAGAATGTCTTCTATATTATTATCACCTTTTAATCGTTTCGTTAGTGGAACAAATTTAATGGAGAAAGGTTTCTACAAACTAAGACCACAGATATTTTTGCGTTCTTTTTTATTCTTCCAGTTAGTAATGGAACATAATTTCAATCAAATGGCTGGCCATGTAGTAGCCTACACGATTGGTCCAATTTTAAAGCACATTATCGATTGTTGTGCAGCTGCATTTCACCAATGGCTTCACGAATATTGTCCTTTAAAGCGTCAATTGTCTCTGGTTTATGGGCGTAACACTTATATTCCCAATTTCCCATTCACATTGATTTACTATTACCAAATTATGGGAACATATAAAATCAGCTAATATTTTCAAACATTAAATTATATTTGGTGATAACTGTGAAATTGTTTTCGTAATCCATTTAAGACAATTTTCATTTTTTCAAAATAAATTCCCAAGAATTTTAAAGGGAATAAGTGTTACCGAATCTCATTTCGATTCATAATACGCGAATTCACATTCGAACATTGCTATTTGGGGACAATAAAATTCGTAATAACAACAATGGGAAATGGAAGCAAAATGTATGGGAAATTATATTCATAATGGGGGTGATTGATATTTCAGAATATAAAAAATGTGTATTATGGAGTTCCAACAGGTCTATTTAACTGGAGAGTATATACATAATTTTTAACATTTTGAAATACCGATAATAAATGAAGCACCTTGTCCTACTTTTACAATTCTAAATAGAAAAAGATCACTTTTGTGTGCTATTTAAAAAATTTAGCTATAATATCAGTGTTGTTTGGTAAAAACGATATTATTTATTGCTGTCGGGAAAATTACAACGTTTCCTTTGGTAAACTTTGGCAAAATTTGTATTCATTCTGTTGGTATTTATATTCGCTGCTGGAAATTTGTCATAAATAACCCATCCTACATTGGAGTATTTTTAAGTGGCATAAGTGGGACTTCGGTAATTTTTATGGAAAACTCACTCTACAGGTTTACATTCTACATTCTAAATAATTTCATTTTTCAAGTATATACCAATTTTTTAGATACTGAAGCACCTATGTTATTATTAAAAAAAAAGAATAAGTAAACGTAAAAAACGCATAAATCCACTAGAGCAAGAAAAAAGTTAGGACCCCCGTATCGTATAAAAACATTATTAACCCATTTTAATTGTCATCTTTACATTAGTAATGAAGGGATACACACTTTCGATATATAGATATGATTAAAATGCCGTCTCTCCTCCCATTTACAAAAAGAGCATAGATGCAAAGAACTTAATATTCGGCTATTTTCTTTGGTTTCGTTTGTTGTTGTATCCACCAATAATGTGTAGTGTAACATTGTAATTGTACTAATTATTTAGTATTTAAGTTTTTTTTTTTGTTTTTAGTATTTACCAGCAACAAAATTATTATGTAATTATAAATAATTGAATGCATACATCTATACATATATAAAACAAAAAAAAAAAAAATAATATACATAAATGGATTGTGTTTAATTTTTGATTGGAAAGATTTTATTTAATATTTTGTTACAGCCAAATGACCATAGCGATAATGTCTAATTAAAAGTTTCGGAGTTTCAATTTTCCATCTGCTTTAAATGACCAAAATTATAATGACAATGGCATGTATGTCCCGTAAAACCTACCAAACTTCTACTTCCCATCTCTCTCTCTCTTATGCGATAATACAGAACATCTATAGATAGCGACACACCCAGAAATCATTTTCAAACTAACTTTTCCATGAACATTTACAAAAAAAGTTAGAAAAGTAAACATTTTAGTGTCCCTTCCTGCTAACGTTGCTGTCTGAAGTAGATGTATCTATCAGTTACGTAATTGAAACCAATTCGATTTAACTTGTGGAGTTGAAGTTTTCTTTTTGGCAGAATGTCTAATTTTAAAATACAGTAAATCGATATATGCCAAAATCAATCGGGATTCAACACATACCTGTGTATCTAAACCACTGTTATTAATTTTGGAAGATGGATTTCCCTACAATAATCTGTAATAATGTGAGTTTAAACCATAATTTTTTTCCAAGGCAGAGAGGGTAGGCCTTTCGTAGCAAAATCACTGGCTTTAGTGCATCCTAAATAGCGCATGGTTGAAACTAATACCGGCAACTCTGTATGTTGTTTTTTTTTTATTTAATGCAAAATTTCTTTGTTATTATCTTCCAAACCTTGTGTTTAATTTCTTTTCTCTAAAAACCCCCAAACACACATGCAATATATTCGATTCACTCCCATACAACGGGAATTGGGTTAATTTCTACTCAAAATTGCCTAAATTTTAAACAATTATAAACAAAAATAAGTTAAATGAAATTACACAATTACAATTCACCCAATTCCCCTTTCTATGGCCATCAAAAAACTACCTTTGTTCCAAAGAAGCAGGGATCAAATGAAATAATTTTTAAACAAATACACCATAGAAAATCATCAACTAGTTTCCTAGATGCAATAACATATGAATAAAACAAAATATATACATATATAGTAACTTGCATATTTACAACAGAGATATAAATAAAAAAACATAAATAATTATATACATCAAGTGCATCCAATATAGCTATAACAAAAAAAAAACAACTAACAAAATATATATTCTTATAAAGCATATAATTAATATGAAGAAAAAAAACAACAATAATACCTACCTATACAAGAAAATAGTACACTTCCACACAGATGATGTATACGTTACACTGGCGTTTCACGAAAAAGATATAAAAATAGAATGCAAATTTAAGACAAATTAATAGTTTTGGTTTTAAAAGTTGAGACAAGATTTTAACTGGCATGTACAGCTTAGTTCTTGGCCACTGATTTGTTGAAAACATCTATTTTATCAACAGATCCAAATTCTGGCAATAAGACATTTGGTTTTATCATTTCCCAGACAACTTACTGGAAGTGCTTCTTCCTGCTTATTATCTAATGCAGGGTTTCGTCTATACAGAAATTTAATCTTTTCAAGTTCCTTCAAAGATAGGATTCCTTACCATTAACCAAAAGTGTTTAAACATGTACAGTTATTGGAGATATAATTGAAATTTAGACATAGAACTTTTTTCATATGTTTGTGTTTTAAATAGAAAACCTATAAGTCTTCCATATTTGGTTTCCCCTTGTATAGGCCTTTTACGGTTGAAAGGCCTTTCAACGAGTTTTCTCCAGTTAGACTACTTGCTATATTCTTTGTTAAGGAACCTTCTGTGCGTCCTTTAGTGAGGAGGCATAAATAGTTGATGATATTACAGATTTAAGGGAAACTTCCAGAACTATAGTATATTATAGTTCGGATTTAAGGGAAACTTCCATAGGCCTTCTAGTGAAAGAAAACCTATCACTAGTTCTTCTAAAACAGAAGACATAATTGGATGTTTTTTTTGAAGAGTCTTAACCAGATTGGCCACGTTTGTTACACATAAAAAAACTTTTAGAAGACCTTTACAGATAGACTTCATAAAATTCTACTTCGATCTTTTACAGGGATAAAACCTGAGGATGACGAGAGTCAACCTTTGAGGTTGTTTTAGCCTGGGTCAATCTTTGGATTCCGATATTCTGGAATTTAGTAAATAAATATAGAGCCTGTAATGACCTCGGAACCGTAACATTCTTTAGCCAACCTCTCTGTCTTTTCAGGTTTGTAAATTGAAGGCAACTCTTCGCTGTCGGTATTAAATTTGGAGTCACTTGTTTATGAGATCCCTTTCTCCAATGTCCGATGGTTTTCGTTCTGAATTAGTCAACGACTTTTATTGATGTTCCCCTCAGGATGGCCTGTGTCAATGTGCAGCAAGTTGTAGATGGTGTTTTACAACTTTATGGAAGCTATTGTTCTTTCATTCCGTTTTGAGATTTGCTAATCACATTCAAAGAGATGTGCAGATGTGATTTGCCTGTTAAAGTCTTCTCAAGTCTTAGTGAAAACACCTCCTGGTTTAGTATTTTTTTAAAGTTAATGAAATATTAAACGGGAGTTGATCCTACATAGATGTACATGTTTCTCACTGTTTCCTCCCTCTCAGAGACAGTTTCCTGGATAAAAGCTTTCTGTAAAAGTTCGAGGATCTTTTACTTTTCCTACATGTTTTGGTCTTCTTGTTGTCGATACAACGGGACAACATTGCATGTTACCGAACCCCCCTCAAATGAAGAGTACGGCATCATCGTGTTTGGCCGGTTCTCAGATTTATATGGTCTGTGACCCTCAGTCCCTCGTATCTATAATGGTCCGGAAAACAAGGTCGAAATACCAACCTGGTTGATTCGTAGGAAAACATGTTTGTCAATAGAATTAGTAACTGGTATACTCAGTTTTTCCACAACGCTATTGATAAGAGTGGCTTCGTCCGGTCGTCGCTTGAACTGCGGCATTGGTAACCATGGTGTGTGTGGAGCCTTTAAATAGTTCGTCCATTTAGCATTATAACTCGCAATTATTGCTTATTTTGATTCGAAGGACCAGTTGAAGCACACGATAGCATTAACTCATTAGCATGAGTTTATTAAAATCTTGTTCTTTTCGGAAAACAACATTGGGAGGATATATTTGTTCTGTGTCCCTAGGTTACAATGTCAGATTTATTTCAATTGTATACCTTTACTCCCATATTTATTTCCACCTTTAAAGATCTTCTTATATCTGACATGAAAATGAGAAAATGCGAGGTTTTTGGAATAAATCTTTAGAAGTTCTGTACGTCTCACCCTTGTTTTTGTTTCGAAATAAATATAAGCTTCGATTGACATTACATTACCAGTACCAAATCATCAGCATCATCCAATTACAAAAGGTTAACAAATCAATTACCAATAAATATTGTTTAGATTTAAAAATACACATCCAAAAGTCGCAAAAAAAATCAATATTAAAGTAGCAACAACAATCTAGCGCATACATACACCATATATATATGCAACAAAAAATCTATATTAAAAAAACATACAAGGGCCTATGTGGATAAATGAAAGAAAAACAAAAGAAAAAAAATAAAACCCTAATATTATTCTAGAGTATATCTATATATCTGTATTTACGTAGACCCATAAGAAAAATAACTAGAGTCTAGAAGTAAAATGTTAGAATTATATACATAAATGTATAATAAGAAAAAAAAAAACATATGAAAACATGCAACAATAACATAAACCACATAATAAACATAAGAAAGAAAAATATGTAAAGGAAATTGAAATTTAGAGGAATATATGTAAACAAATGCATTATGATATAAACTTGTTTTCTTGCAGAGATTCATTTAAAGGGTTTGACGGTAATTTAGCATAAGATATTGCAATTCGTACAGATTTTGGAATTCCAATATTGATTGCAATCCGCCTCAACAAAAAATATCGTTTTGCGTCTAGATTTTTGACGTGATTGCAACCTTCATTTACTCCTCTTCCGTTACAAAGATCACAAATGAAACACTCCTTGTTTTATTAGAATAAATATCAAGTTTACAAAATTTATTGGTGTTCCAATTAATAACATTGCCATTTACACATACACATAAGTTTTAACAAACGGAATTACAAGGCAAATCGGTCACAAATAGAAATGCTCCTCAAACAATTAAGCATTTGTCTAAATGAAAGAAAAAATATAAAAAAAACGTTAAATATATTAGGTATATTTTAATTAAAAGAACATTTTTAGTAAAAAAAAGAAAAAATAGATATGAAAATTTCCTAACTAAATACCATCACATCAAAGCATTTCCATATCTGTCGGATGCTTTGACAGGAAATCACTTTATTTCTATCGTATGCTTTGACGGAAAACACTTTGTTTTGCCTTGGCAGCGGCAGTACTTGATTTCTTCGCTGTATGAGGATCGGGGGCAAAACAATTCCAAAGACGTAGAGTTTCATCGGCACCAGCACTAATGACAGTGCTGCCATCGGGTGACAACGCCATTTGCAGAACTCTAGATGTATGACCAGTAAGTTCAGCTTGTTTCACCATTGAGGGATATTTCCATATGGTCAATTGATTATTGGCAAATCCATGGGCCGAGATTAGTTCCTTGTAGTTGCGTGACCAAAGCAGAGCACAAACTTGAGACTTGGAATCCACGGAATTAATAAGAGAACCATTATTAACATTCCAGAACTTGATACATCTGTCGGCAGTACCGCCACCTGATGCCAATACATTGGGTTGCCAAGGACACCAGGCCAGAGCTCGTACTGCCGCCTGATGTTCATTTAGAATGTGAAGAGGTTCATTGCCTGTGCCAACACCACCACTAACGGCAGCCCAAACATTTACTAAATTATCATTGCCACCACTGGCCAAATACTTGAAATCTGTGGACCATTTGAGGCCACAAACTTCTTGAGTATGGCCGGCCAGATTGGCAACCTTATGCTCACGGGCTCTAACATCATGGTGGATAATGGAGCCATCACGACTACCTGACGAGACCAAAAAGGAATTCCAAGCCAATGCTCCAACACGGGCCGAGTGCCCATCCATTACACGTAAACGTTTTATTTTGGAACAATCCCAAAGTTCCACGGCTCCAGTATTGTTGCCAATGGCCAAAATCTGGCCTTCCTGTATCCAAGCTAAAGCACAGGCATGATCACCCTCTTCATACTCCACCAATTGTTCTATGTTACCGGTGGCAGCATTCCACAGATAAACAGCATTACCCAAAGCAACAGTAACAATATTATCGGCACTCCAGTCCAAAAGATTCAGATCTACAATACATAAATGTTAGTTCAATTTATGGCTTTAAGGCCATTTCGATACCTACAATAGTCATTGATAATATCAGGAGCATCCAAAATACGATCTGAAGTTGTGGGTATATAACGCGAACCACTCTTGGTCGATATGGGCGTTTTAATGGAATACACAACCTTCAAGGGATTGGTATGTGATTCTGGGGCAGCCGGGGCCTTGTTTTGATAGGAAAGAATGCGTGTAGTTTTGCCATCTGCCACTTGCATTGAATCCGAAATTAACTTTTGACGTTCAGCCTTGGCTGGTGTCATTTTATTGCTATTATTAGAGTTTCCACTATCATTCTCCTCGTCATTTTCTGATTTTTCCTGTTCTTGTTTTATCTAAAATTTTTGTAAACTTTATATACTTAGCATGTTATGTTAATTTTCCTCATTACTTACCAAATAGTGTCCCAATTCAAAGTTTGTTGTGCCACGATTAGGTATAAAACGATCTCCTCCACCTGGTGTCTTGGATCCTTTACTGGGCGTGGGAGTTTTCTTGTTCTTTGTGTCGCCAGTCTTACCAGGGGTTTTGGTGGGGGGATTAGCTCCAGAAAAACTGGTATTATAAGAAACAGATAGCACTGACCGACTTCCATTCAAATGACTGGAGGACGAAGCGTCCATCATTTTCTTTTGCCATCTTGGCGGTGGACCCCTTGTAATTTCACCATCCATAGTGAGGGCACTATTGATTTCGTTGAAAAAATTAAATTGTGACATTTTTTTTTAATCAATTTGATAGTTATTTTTCATGAAGTAATGTCTGCAAGGATGCGGAGTATTTTTCTTAAACAAATTCACAACTTGAATTGCCTGATCAAACAATGGCGGCTTTTTAGCGCCCACAAGCTCAGTGTGTTATCAAGCATTAGTGAATGATGCATTCTTGACAGTTAGTGAGTACGTAACGTACATGCATTTTTTTGGGCGTGTTTGTTACAATACAAAAATTTAAAACGATTAACGATTGGGACAATCATGGTAGAAAAATATAAGTAGACGCGTCGACACAGCTGCTGGGACAATGAACTGTCAAACCAATTTTGGAATCGAAAATGTTGAATGAAAATTTATTTAAATTTGTAAAAATTGTTGAAAAACGCGAATTATAATAGCCTCCAAATGACGTAGTATAAGAAAATATATAAAAATCCACTTATATTTGAAAAAACATTTAAATTTTTTTGACATATCAATGCTCCCAAGCGTTGATGCATCTACCTGTATTCTTCTGCCATGGGGACAATGAACTGTCAAACCAATTTTGGAATTAAAAATGTTGAATGAAAAATTATATAAATTTGTAAAAATTGTTGAAAACGCGTATTATAATAACCTCCAAATGACGTCGTATAAGAAAATCTTATGCAAATCTACTTATATTGGAAAAGACATGTAAAATTGTTTGACAGCGTTGATGCATCCACCTGTATTCTTCTACCATGGGTATACGTCAAATGAAGTCGACTGATTGAATACATATTAAATAGTGTAGTGTTTTTTACTACAATTTGTAAATAATATGCTATCTTTTACACCACTCATCTGTTTAGGATTAAAATATGAATACAATTAAGTTGTGATAGTTAAATTTTAAGTAAAAATGATCTATTCAAGCCGGCTATTGTAGTTTGGTATCAATTCACTGTGATTGTCATTTATTGTTTCCTCTCAGATCAGCTGTTATTTTCTTAGTATCAATTCACGGTGTTGCACTTATTGTTTTCTTTTCTGATCAGCTGTTATTCTTTTGCAATCAATTCACTTTGAGTGTCCATTTTCTACTTTAGGAAACCAACATTAAGAAGAAGCATTTAAAATAGTAAGAAAACCATTCCAATCCCGCATCTTCAGGATTATCTCCAAAAATGGCTGAGGGGGCTAATGTTCGTCAAAATTTACAAAACATTCCATCGATATTTGAAATTTCGGCAGCTGAAACATTGGACAATCTCATCTATCCGGCTCTCAGTAAAATATTCGACTATTTGGGTTTACGTTTGGACTTTAAACTCACTGATACCAAACGCTTCAGGGAAGAGATATCGCCCATAGTTACATGGTTGTTACAGTATATGTATCTGCGGAAACGAGGTTCCTCTTTTGGTGAAAGTTTCTATGGTCTGCAAAGAACGCACACAACCACGGGTGAATTGTTGACAAGACAACAAGAACTAATATCAGCCTCCGTATTAACACTCCTGCCATATATTGAACGAAAACTATTGACACGAGCACAGAATCATGAAGCATATGCCTGGGAAGAGTATCTATTGAAACTATTCAATGCTTATAAGGCTTCCAAGGCGATACACACCTTTATGTACCTCATCAAGTATGCCGGTAGTCATTCACCAATATTTCGTGCATTGAGATTAACGCTGCGCTATCCAGCCACACCACCCAAAGAAGATAAGGCTACATATATTGTCTTAAAATTGCTGGAGGTGCTGGCATTCTTTTTGCAGTTTATACAATGGTGGTATTCGAATGATCAACGGCGTAAAGTTGGTGGCTCATTGGTGAATCCTGAACCGATGGAAGAACAACCGGATATGTTGAAAAAATCCAACACCCCAAAGGGAGATTGTCCCATATGCTTGATGAAAATCGATAATGCCACAGCGTGTTCGGTTTCAGGCTATGTCTATTGTTGGAAATGTATAATAACACGTTTGAAGAATCATCCCACTTGCCCTGTTACGGGCTATGCCATAACTATGGAAGATCTAGTACGAATTTATGAAACTAATTAGTATTTTTTATTTATGATTAATAGTGTTTTATTGTTCATTAGTGTAATAATGGATTATGGGATGTGATATTTATTTTAGAATAGACTTTGTAATAAATACATAAGTTCTATTAAAATATGTTTTTAAAAAATGAATCGATATTTTTATTGAAGTCTGAAGGTAATTTTTCTATAAAAACAGTTTATTTAGAGATTTACCAAGATAAAAACTACTTTCGGTTAGATAAGATAGATTATAATGATATTATTAAGAGTTTGACCAGCTTATTGTTGAACGAATTTAGGTTAATATTTTAAAAAATTTATTTCAAAGACTACGAGAACTGTATATGAGATTTTTAATATCTCTTATGGGAATATTTAAACGATATGGTGATAGATTTTTAAAGCTGTATTTGAAGAACTATCAAAGCTAGTTATAAAGAATTTTATATCAGGGATTACCAGACCAAATATGTGTGGATTGTATCTGTACTACAAATGAAATTGATTTCAAGGACTGTCAGCTTTTATTTCTTAAGAATTCTTGTAGGACTATTGGAACGTTGAAATTTTTGCAAATTTATTTCAAGGACATTTAGAATGAGAATTTTTTGAGAACTTTATTGCAATGACTAATAGAACGTAGATTTTCTTAAGATTTTTATTTTATGGACTAAAAGAATTAGGGTTTTTATACCCTTCACCATACATAGAATGGGGGGTATATTACGTTCGTCATTCCGTTTGTAACTCATCGAAATAATAATTCTAGACCCAACAAAGTATATACAGTGTGAGATAAAAAACTGCAACAAAGTCAAAAGCCATAATTTTTACATTTTTTTTTTAATATTTAATTTTATTGAATGAAAGCAAAAAATAGCATCAAATTTTAGATTTGTTCGAATTTGACACCTTTGGCACGATTTATGGCCTTCAAATGACCAATGAAACCGTCACACGCTGCCCAAATGTTGGTCCATTCCCGGAGAAGCGCTTGCTTGAGTTGATCGACACTTTCGTATTTTTAAGTGCCAACCTTGCTTTCCGGAGATTTTGGTGACCATTGTGCACTGGAATTATAGCGAGGAACCTCATTTTGTAACCATTATTGGGTGGAGCATGCCGAGTGCGATAGCGCTGAGTCCTGTTGAAATGTCCAAGGTCTGCGGCAAAATGTTTGCGTGTCCAAAGCCTTAATACACCCTCCAGAATATTTTCGCGATAATATTCGGCATTTAGCCCGAATAGTATGCAAGTTTGCACATACAACCAAATTAGGCCTGAAAATAAGTCTGCCAAATTTGATCGAAATCGGTTCAGATATAGCTACAGCTCCCATATTTATTGTTCATCCGATTTGTTATTTTTGTCCTCCGCAGCCGTAATATGCACTCTGTAACAACAATATTTTGGGAAATATATCAAATACAACTCAGAAATACAGATTTGGATATAGCTCCCATATATAACTTCGTCCGATTTACCTTTTATTGTGCACCAAACGTCTAATATTTGCCCAAATGGGATCGAATTTGGCACTTCTGGCCGAATTGAGGTAGTGTGCCAAATTTGGTGAAGATCGGTTCAGATATAGCTATAGCTTCCATATATATTGTTCATCCGATTTGTTGTATTTGTTACCCACAGCCGTAATATGCACTCTGTAACAACGATATTCAGGGAAATATATCAAATACAGCTCAGAAATATCTTTGCCAAATTTTATCGAGATCGGTTCAGATTTGGATATAGCTCCTATATATATCTTTATTTGATTTCAAATTAATTTTGCACCAAATGGGCAATACAAGTCCGAATGCTTCTTTGAATTTTAAATTATAAAGGGTGTATGATTGAATTCTCCCATAAAAACTTTTAACTGTAATGTGGAGCTCAAATAAATTAGCAAAGTGGTGTAGGGTATCATAAAATCGGCCCCGCCCGACTTTAGGACTTTCTTTACTAGATTTTTTGTGTCTTTCCTTTCAGAAAGTGAGTTCTTTTTTATAACTTCCTTTCAAGGAGGTAGATTAATTAAAGAAATATTACTTTACTAATACTTTAATTACTGTGAAAATATTACTATTACTTGTATTTATTAAAGACATTTTTGGTGGTTTTTATTTCAAAGAACTGTCATAAAATGCAATTTTTAAACATTTTTTTAAGGATTTTATTCCTTAGACTGGCATAAAGTGAATTATTATAATAGTTCCAATCCAAGAACTGTGAGAAAGTGCATTATTTAAAAAAAATATTTTTCAAAGAATTTTATTTGAAAAACATTTAAATAATCTTATTTCAAAGACTATCAGATCAATAACTTTATCGAGCTTTTAGCCATTTTACTTCACAGACTGTAATAACGTGAATTTTTGAAGAACTTTATTTTGAAATTAATTTCAACATACCTGAAGGAAAATATTAGTAGTAAAAGGAAATTACATTCCCTTGCAGCCTCAAACACACACATACAGTTTTGCCAACAACAAAAGTCAATCATTATCCCCAATCATGTTTGAAAATAATAATGGGATATATATCCTGAACTCAATAACCAAAAAAGCAAATGAAAACAAATTTGGTATTTATTTCGGCAGTTTTATGTTGTTCTAACGGAAATTAAATTCTAAAGGATGCCTAATTCCTCGACTTGATTTCGGCTTAACTTCTTTGTTTGTGGTTATTGATGTTTATTTTGGATTTTGTTTGATTGTTTGACATTTTTATGCTTCATGCACATGAAAACAACCATAAATACTTGGGGCAATAGTTATGCTTGATGGGATGTTTCACATACATTGAAGTTGAATAGGCAGCGAGGAGGATATTCATATTCTTTACGGTTCAGAGAAAGAAAATAATGTGAGAAAGCTGAAGTAGCTGGATATGAGCTCTTTTGGAGGAAGCTAACTTTTATAAAATAATATTTTATTATATTTATACAAAATACTTAACTATTATTGTTTATACCCTACACCACATAGTGGTAAGAGTATTAAGCACATTAAAGTTGGAGAAAATCGGTTCAGATGTAGCTTTAGCTCCCATATATATGTTTTCATATAAATCTTCAACCGATTTCGGGTTAATCGAGCACTAAATGACCAATGTCAGTCCAAACGACCTGAAATTTGGCACTTCAGTTGGAATTCACCATAGAAGGAAGTACATCAAATTTGCTGAAAATCGGTTCAGATATAGCTTTAGCTCCCATATATATGTTTAATTCGATATGGGGTTTCAAAACCCTTACATTCGTAATATGCACTCCACAAGTATGATATTTGGTACCAGATATCTTATAGGGCTTGGAAATACCTTTGCTAAACTTTATCGAGATCGGTAAAGATTTAAATATAGCTCCCATATATACCCTTAATCCGATTTCAGGTTTATTGTGAAAATAATGGCTAATTTAAGCCTAAATGGATTGAATTTCGGGACGTACGTTTTCATTTTGTGGAACTCGGCTCCTATATATTTTATACCCTCCATCATAGGTTTATCATTCCGTTTGTAACACCTCGAAATATACCTTTTAGACCCCACAAAGTATATATACTCTTGATCAGCATAAAATTCTATGTCAATTAAGCGATGTCCGTCCGTCTATTCGTCTGTGAAAATCACTCTAGCTTCCGAACGAAATGAAGTAGGTTGATAAAATTTTACTCAAATATGTGATTGGTCTGCAAGACTTTTGGTATTGAAAATGGGCCATGTAGGTCCACGTTTTGGTATAGCCCCTACAACTATTTTCGGTGTTTTGGTGATTTTAGCGACAATATTCATCAGAATTCTTTCAAATTTGGTATTTGAAGTTCGAAATGGATACCACAGCCTATGACAGAAAAGTGTCTGTGCAGGTCCACGTCTTCTTATAGTTCCCATATAACGGTACCTCCCGATATTCGGTACTTTGATAATTTTAGCGACATTATTCACCAGAATCGTTTGAAATTTGGTATTTGAGGTTCGTAATGGATACTACAGTTTATGACAGAAAATTGTCTGTGCAGGTCTACGTCTTCGTATTGCCTCCATATACCGGTACCTCCCGATATTCGGTATTTGATGAAATTAAGGCGACATTACTCACCGGAATTGTTTCAAATTTGGTATTTGATGTTCGTAATGGATACTACAGCCTAAGACAGAAAATTGTCTGTGCAGGTCCACCTCTTCGTATAGTCCCCATACAACGGTACCTCCCGATATTTGGTATTTGGATGATTTTAGCGACATTATCCACCGGAATGGTTTCAAATTTGGTATTTGAAGTTCGTAATGTATACTACAGCCTAAGACAGAAAATTGTCTGTGCAGGTCCACGTCTTCGTATAGCACCTAAATATCGGTACCACCCTATATTCGGTATTTTCATCATTTTAGCGACATTATTCACCGGAATTGTTTCAAATTTGGTATTTGAAGTTCGTAATGGATACTACAGCCTATGACAGAAAATTGTCTGTGCAGGTCCACGTTTTGGTATAGCGGCCATATAATTCAGCAGAATTTTTAATGGATTTTATTATTTTTTTTTTTTGTAAATTGTCAAATTCCTTCCAAATGGTAGATGGTATTCAAAGTTCGGCCCGGCCGATTTGTTTAATATAATCATGATACCCTGAAACCAACTTATAACTGCTCTAAAGCCAAATTTTGACGGTGGTATGATCTACTTGAAATAAATGCTAAATATGCATGGTGGAGTGGGGTATCATATGGTCGGTCCCGCCCGAATTTTGAGTTTTCTTTGCTGGTTATATTATACATTCGTTTGCTCTAAATCCAAATGTTGATAGGTGGTATGATCTACTTCAAATAAATTCTTTTGTTACGGGAGCTCTACTAAATACGCATAGTGGTGAAGGGTATTATCTGGTCGGCCCCGCCTGTCTTATGACCTTTCCTTACTGGCATTTTATACTATTATAAATTCAGTTCTCCAATGCTATATGATCTGTGTGAGTGGCAAATTTGGCCTGCTCTAATTAGATCCTATTGCTAGCAGTATGACCCTAAACTCAAAAAGCTGAAATTCACAAACCATCATTTTTTAATAAGTTCATAATTTGGCACACATAGATCCTGGAAATTTCT